GTGTGTGTGTGTTCGCCTTTTTTCTTTTTTTTCATCCTACCCGCGGCGGCGCTGATTAAACCGGCTTGTACTGTACTCTGCGGGCTGTCACGTTGAGCTCCTCATGGACGGACGGCAGAGAGGGGACAGCCGGGGCCGGCGGATCCAGGCCGATGACGTCGGCGGGCAGACGGCCGAGAATGCCCGAGTCGGCCTCTCGGTCCCAAACGCCGACATCCCGAACCCGAAGCAGGCGCGCGCTATAAATAGAAACAGGCGGCTTCAAAACAACAGTCCTCCGGGCCGGATAGGAGGGAGCGGGAAATTGACTCTCCTTTGCTTAGCTCCACATTTTGACGAGATTCGAAAGCAGTCTCATTAAAAACACCCCCCCCCTCCCCATAACTGACCTAAAAAATTGATCACTATATTGCCTTTTGCAATATAGTGACCCCCCCAAATAGTTTTGCTATGGTCTAATCCAACTACAACTCTCCATTTAACCCCCATTTAAAGATAGAATAAGTTTAAGCAATATTGGTGTGTGACTTATTCGTAACTGGTTTCGCAAGATGATTATAATTATTTTAAATCATTAAAAATAAGAAAAGATAAATTAAGATACATAAATTAGTTGGTGTCAAAACACTGAATGGTTCACATGAACCCACACAAAAAATCAGCAGACCATTTTACAGTGCCTAAGACGCCAAGAGGGTCACCAGGTCAGCCCGGGCTTGTGCAGAGAGCCAGTCCAACTAGATTAAGTTTTCTGGAAAGTCCCCGATATATGAGGATGTATGCAATGCTCAGTTCAGCCCAATTACACACATTCCACTCATTCTGCAGATGGTCATTGATGTCAGACGAGTTGTCCGATCAACAGACATTGTTTTCTCTGAGAGCCGGGGAGTTTTGAATTCAGTTTTGAATTCAGAAGTTTAATGTTTGCGCTGGTAAACACGGCCTGAAATCGCCAGCCAGTGCCAGACATGTCAATCAAGTCGGTGAGTGTATGACATTCAGACCAGTGACTAATTTAACGCTTCCAGTATGCATGCGCCATTTTCCAACACAAACGTTCAGACTGAGTGAAAGTAGCACCGTATTTGTGGCACATTTCTGATTTATGTTGGCACCAAATTCGATACAGGACTGTATTAAGGGAAATGAGTCATCTTAGAATAACTGATATTGTAAAGAAAAAAAAGAAAAGAGAATAAACCCAGCAAAGATTCTGTTCATTTTTGTTTGAAGCACACGAATAGCCTCATGTAGCATTCTCTTCATGTAACATCAATAAAAAGTGCAACGCGTAAAGGATAATTACAGAAATTTTAATAAATAATTCTACTTTAATGTACAAATTGACATTGCTTAGATCCTTTTAATCTTAACATTCTTGAGTAACATTGTGTTTGTCTTATTTTACTATACAAATGCAAAGATAAGCTTTAAACTTTATGTACACGTAAGAAGTTCCACAAAAGGAAAAAAATAAAAGTCTAGTTGTAGCAGGAAAAGCAACTGAAATGTTTAAATGAACTTGAACTAAAAGTTTAGCAATTTAGCAGAAGCAAAAGCCGTGTATTAAGATTTTCTTTTAATTCAGGACAAAAAGAGGCACAAACAGAACAAGTGTGGAGAATTTTTTTTTTCTAAAAAAGGAAAAAAAACTATTATACTTGAGGTGTTTATTACTGTGTAAATTGCACAACTCCTGAGCAAACTAACAGCATGAGCGACATGGAGGACAGTTTAAGGACAATTTTACAACCCAGTTAAATAAGAAAGTTAATGTCTCGTGAAATAAGTCAGCACTGAACTGAGCATTGGATGTCCACAAGTGGAAGTCATCCATCTGTTTATATTGCTCTCACGCAATATACTATCTCTACTGAATGCAGTTGTCAGTCAAGAAGTATGCACATTTTCAAGAAACAACAGAAGAAAGTAACATGGAAAAGGCCAGCTTATTATATTACCTTATATTTTCTTGTAAGTACAGACAACCAACGACTGCCTAATTTATTTAGTGACAATAAAGAACAGAGAAGAGTCCTGGCCTTCACTTTAAAATAAGACATAACTGAACTTAAATTTACCCACCAATGAGGTTGCATATTTAAGTTAATATATTGCACAACATACAAAAAAAAATGAGACATTAAATACAGCTCATGATGCCAGGAATATAAATAGAAAACTTAAAAAAAAACAAAATGAGAAGAAAAAGAAACCGATTCCTCCTGTCCAGCCAGCTTCATCAAGTTTCAAGTTCAACCGTAAAAAAAGGCCATGTGCGGAGAAACCCAGATCATTTTCTACGTGGAAAAACGTTTGGCACAGACTCCAACTGAACGGAACAGAGCGAGGTGGGCGAGCGTTACTGTCGGGAGTAACACGTGCGTGGGGGTAGAGCTACACGTTGCCTTATGACTACCTATGTTACAGCGTTTCCCTACCGTGATTTTTAAGATACTCTCGCACTCACTGCAGCATATGTTTTTAGTGCAACCTCCGCGCCCGGACTCCGGGTGGACGGCGAGAGGCTTGGTGGCGGCCGGCGGTCTTCACGCCGGCTGCTGGGGGTTGACGTTCATGTGCTGAGGGTGTCCCAAAAGGCCAATTCGCTGCTTCTGCTTCCTCTGCTCTGTCATCTGAGGATAACGGAAAGGTCAGATTAGCCACAAAACAAGAAAAAAAAAAAAAAGGAAACAAACAGAAGAAGGTCGACCTGCTGTCACATGCTGTAAACAAAGCCAGCTCCCTGCCGCGCGCCTTTAATAAATCTGTGCCACTTTGCAGAAACAGACTAAATGCTAGCGCACGGCACTCGACGGAAAAGCGATTCTTCTGAAATCCTGCCAGCCTTGTCATCCACCTATGCCGGGTTCTATTGACGAAAGCAGCGCAAATCAAGCGACTCAGAGCGAAACTCGGTCGGTAGAAATTTCAGAGATCAAGCAAAAGCGTGACTCATAACAAAGGTGTTAACCTTTACACCAGGAGGAACAAGAATGGCCCTTCTGCTAAGAATTAACTTTAATTAACATAAGGTAGTGAGACGCTCGCGTCGGCACTGAAACGCAACGATATTAAAACTGAGAGGACAAAGTGGTCCTGCAATGAGTGTTCCAGGAGAAATAATTCTGCGCAGAAGGACGTGTTTGAGAGAAAAAACATATTTGTTAAGCGTATCGAGTAGACAGTTTAAACGCAGTTTGCAGAAGAATGCTTTGCCTCTTCGCACGATAATTTTCCGATTAAAGCAATTTTCTTCGGAATGGCCGGAGAGCACTCGCGGCCCAATTTGCCAGTTTGTGTTCTTCTATGAATCAAGGCCAAAGAAATTTGTGCATTTAAACAGATCGTGGGATCTGATGTCAGATTTAAAAAAAAAAAAAAAAATTTTTTTTTTTATTCCAGAAGAAGACAAAAATACATTAAATAAAAGAAATCCAAACAGGTTTTTGACCTGTTCTGGAGTGATATGCGGCAGAGTTTGTGTTGTCCTTCACAGCACAATAATCATTTCCCCCTGTCTGGGTCAAAATGTCTCAGAAACCTTCACTTCCTCAAAAACAGTTCTCATTTCAAGGGTAAATGCATTTTTACAAGTCTGTTTACTAGAAGCAGTGGGTAGTGGATATTGGGCAACCGTGGTCCGACAGAAATGCATTGTCAGCAGAAATGTCGATATTTTGCCATGTAAGTGTAGCAGTTACTTTTCGTAATTACAAAAGTACAGTTTCTTCGTATTAGAATTCATGCAGAAAATAAGAAATGCCTGAAGATAAAAAGCTCAGAGGACTGGGCTAAAACGAACACCGCGAGAGAAGACGCGGTGTTGGTAAGTGATGTAAATAAAATGAGATTGAAAGCCTTTCAAGCTGTGCTGTGAACTATGACTCATTGCCTTTTTTGCATTTAGTAAGCCGTGCATCGAAAAGGGCAACAGGCAGCAGACAATCAGAAAAAAACAAACAAAAATAACCCGCCCCAAAACCCCTCTTCCCCCCGCCACGAGGTGACAGACTTTCGGATTTGCTGACGCCGTTTTCGACGGCGGATGAGACCGACCTGCTCTTTGAGCTCGGTCAGCTGGCCCGACAGGTTGGTGACCAGTTTCATGGTGGACTCCAGCTTCTCCTGCAGGCTCCTGATCTCGTTCTGCTCCCCGTCAGCGTCGCTGCTGACCAGGGACATGGCCCGCATCCGTGGAAACCAGTCCAAGTTGTGTTCCTGGGAAAATAATAATAATAAAAAAAATAATAATTATAGAAACGTGAGTATTTTTGGGTTTCATCATGCTAGAAGGAAATGAACTGTTCCCCCTCACTGGGGTATTTTCAAACAATCTGCTCTATGTTTTTCTAGGAAGCAACTCTTTTTCGAAATAAATCTAATTCAACGAATGAGTCAAAAGAGACAATAACACAGCACGTATGACATCAAGCCCTATTTGATTAGGCTTCCACCTCTCAGACCCAGTTTGCTCTTCAGGCTCCGTGCAGAGATTTCAAACGATCTACTCAGTATGGGACTTTCCATGTCAGAATCACATGGGATACGCAGACATTCTTGAAATCACTCAAATCCGGCGGCGCGCTCGCTGGTGATAGGTTCAGGTCACACCTCGTCTTTACCATCACGCAGGCCAAACTTGGCAAACTTATAATAAACTGGTGCAGAGACTTCCTCGTTCATACCGCCCCGAGGATTAACCAGAATGAGGTTTCACCAGCCCCGGTGTCTGCAGCCCAGGAGCCGTGCAGGGCTTCCGACGCCACACGGCTGTCGTGCATATTTTGTTTTTGAATATATATTTTTTATTTTGAGGATGTCACAAATGGTTAGGCTTTAGTTGACACAAATCGGTTTTCTGGCACAATAATCGCCAACTTTTGTTGAAAGGGATTCTGAAGTTCCAGCAGCCAAGACGCAGCATGCAGCTGAGAGTGAGTTTTTTTTCTTGATTTTTTTTTTTTTATGATAAGAAGAGGCCTCAGGAGAAGCTAATCGAAGGGGTTTCACAGCTGTAAACGCTGCCTCAGCACATCCCGTTTGATTCTGGGTAGTGGGGGTTAAGTTTATATCAAACTAAAAAGAAACAAATATAATCCTATATCACATCTTTAACCTAGCCACACGGTTACATTCTTTCACTCTTATCTCTTCTAGCGCTTGACATCCAGATGCCACTGTTATCATGGCCTCAGAAACAGGCCAATGTCACGTGAGCTAATCCACGCTCGTTTCCTTGTGAACACGGACTCAGTCGGTACAGAATCTGCCAAGAAAAAAAAGAAAAAAGGGAGGATGCCTTGTAGCCACCGTGGCCACTTGCCAAAATAACTTGCTCAAAGCAAGGGGCTGAAAAGAAAAGTCCCCAGGTTTCAGTGGTTGATTTGGAAAGAGTGGGACGACAGAGGTGGCCGTGTGGACCACAAACCAGGCCCAGGTCAGGTGGCAGCCAAAGGGGAATCACACAACAGTAAGATAATGAAGAGCGTGCACTCATTCTGAAAGAAGGAAAGACGTTTGTGAGCATGTTCCACTTCCTGAATGCAAAGTGATCGAGGCTGTGTTTATCTAGCTTGTCTGCCCCCCCCCCCCTCCACCCTCTCCAAACATGCATACGCGGGTCACAGAGTTTTCTGTAGACGTGATTCGCATTTATTCAAATTTAGTCATGTTCAAAATAACTGTTGAAGCGAGGAGCCCGTGTTTTATGAGCTTTTTTACCAGTTCGTTTGTACTAATGGAGGCAAAAATAGTCTTGTGACACATTTCCAGTTGTTGCATATTCATCTTTTCGGACATAAACGTTACACTTTTCCTTCTTTAACTATGTCAATACTCTTTAACAATAAGTAAAAATACTTGTGGTGCACGAAGGCCTTACAGTTGTAGCAGAGGATGACAACACCTGTGAACTGGGCTGCCATTGGTCTCTAAACTCTGCTTAACACAGGCACGCTTCCATTGCCTTGTTTAACCTGATTTGCAAACTGTGTCAATGAGTTTTCAGTCAACTAGCTTAAAACCTCTCTTATCCCCATCTGCCTTTGGCAACAACAAAGCTGCCACTAGCCTCTCTGTAATTTTAATTTTGTCCTTTCAATTACACCCTACATACCATTACACTACCACCACCATGCCAGGCAAGTGATGATAAAAGCCTTAGGTAAAGACGTGGAGGTTCATTTTGGCAAATCTGCTTAAATAATTCTTAAAATAATAAATAATAAAATAAAAATAATTTTAGGGGGTGGGGGCTGTTTCTTTTTTTAAAATTTTTTTTTGGTGCAACATCTTTGAATTTTTCCTTACTTGCCTGGTTTGAAAATTTTAAATGTTTCTTTCCTTGGAAGGTTTGTTGTAATGACAGATTTGTCCTCATTGTATTATATTGGATATTTTGAGGGTTTTTTTACACTTCTTTTCCTTAAGAAACACCATGTGTGTATTAACTACAATCATGTGACTATTTGACAGCACACAGGTGGACTTGACTGTTCTTATGTGAATCTTACAGGACTTTTACCTGCTTAATATCTTAATCGAGCACTGAACACACACAGGATGCAACACTACATGATTTTCTAGAACTTTCTTTAAAAACACCTTTGAAAAAGGAAAAAAAAAATCAATCTTTCAATTCAAGTACTCTTCAAAATGTTGTCCATAAAAATGTTTAGCTGGTATTAAACAAATAAACACTGCTTTAGTATATTTTCTTACTACGGATCAACTCACTTAAAAAACAAAAACAAAATGAAAAAACTGTTCAATTTTTCACGTGCAATAAAAGTAGCTGCAATTTTCCAGATCACTGCAAGATTTTCAAGTCTGAGTTCAATCTGCATTTAAAGACAAAATACTGTATTTTCTGCATCAAATTTTCGGAATCAGAATCAGAAATACTTTAAGAATCCAAGAGGGAAATTATTTTTTGTTACCAACTCCAGAAATACGACATCATTTACATATACACATGTCTATACATATAGCCAAAATAATTCAGCCAAAAGGATTTCTATTCCAAAACTATGGCCAAGTACGGTTCCAGCATCTGCAGGCTGACCGATTTGGCTGGGAGGCATTCGCCTTTGTTTGATGACTGTCGCGATCAGCACTCTTTCCATTACGAGTGCCTCTAAATGAAAGTGGTTCCAGTAAACTGATAAGTACAAGTACAAATAAAAACGACAATGGAAATGATGGCCGTATATTTTTCATTATTAAAACCGCACGGGCCGTGACAGAGAAACAGGATGCTGTGCGGTTAAAACAGCAACAGAAAACGTCATAGTCTTGCCACAAGCCACCTGATGTGCTCACGGCCCACTCACTCTACACGCATTCTTAAAAAAGAAAGAAAGAAAGAAAGGAAGAAAAAAGTGTCTTTCAGAAGAAAAAAAAAAGATAAGTCTGAATAGACAGATTTTTTTTTGTCCCCATTTCTTTGCTGTAAAAGGTGATCAAAAGGCAGAGGCGTCTTTCGGAGTCAGAAACAGAAGAATTAGGGCACTGAGTGTGAACGGTGCATCATCTTTTTACACTTTAGATGTGACATTTCACCCAGAGCCCTCCACCATTGACGTCAGTCTCAGTCATTGTCAAAGTAGTCTGACTACAACACCTCTTTTTTTGTCCCGCCGGTTCTTGTGTTTAAGTAGACGCTGGATAATAAATGCACAAAAACAACAACAAAAAATTCTAAATTTCTCTATAAATGGAGAAGATAAATATTCCACAATGAGTTTTTCTGCTTCATACTTGGCGAAGCTTTAACCTTCGAAACAGCTTGAATAATATCCAACAGGAAAAAGCGCCATGCGTGGAATTTTTGTCACAGAATAAGGCCAAATTTGCAGAAGCCTATAGCAACAAAGCCGACTGCTCATGATTAATACAGACGACAACTAATCAAACCTAATCAAAAGAAGTTTAAGAACACCGTTGATTTCCAATTAGCAGTCACAAGAGAATGATCCAACTCTTCTTTTGACCACACTGTCAGAGAAAAAAAAATCTAAACGAAAAAAAACTGTGAAAAGTCTGAGAATGTAACTCAGCCCGATAAAACCGTAAATAACTCAGTGAAAACAAAATAATGGCTAAAAAAGCACTGCAGACAGATGAGGAAAACCATTCCTTTGTAATGGTCGGGACTTCAGCTCTTCTTTTGCCTGCTAAATACTTTTATGAAATATCAAAATTGAGCACTCAAATTGCAGTTATTCAATGGTGTGCAGAGTTACTCCTCTGCACACCAGGGCTGTAGTTCCAAAACTTTTCCACCATAAATGGACATAAATGCCTCAAACTAAAGCCGAGACAGTGCGTTTTAAATTTGTGTCTGTTGTGTAAAGGGTCAAAGACATTCTAAGAAAAACTTCTGAATTGACATGATGAAATGTTTCTGTGAAAAAAACAAGGGAAAAAATAAAGATTGAATCTGTTTTCAAGATGTATTGCTGGGAAGAAAAAGGAGCTCGTGGCCCTTCTGTAGGATAACAGTGAAACAACACAGTTATGTTTACCATTAAACATAACCAACATGGAGTCTGGAGACTGGGACATGTCCCCCACACATCCCGTATCTGTGCCCTTCATTCCTGACAATTTTTACAGCCGTTACAACCGGTTAATCTACGCAACATGAAGGTGCGAGTGCTGGCATCCCCTGGTTTGCCGTGTAAAAACAAAAAAAGGAAAAAAAAAAAAGGTCAAGCTGTGTGCTCGGCTGCTTTGCATTTTGAGAGTATGGAAAGCCTGTGTGAACAAGCAATTTGCATTTTCCCTCAAAACCTGAATTATTTTTAGTTTCGGTATCTATTTCAATATTTACAGTTTTAAAAATATGCTACAACGCAGACGACAACCCCCCCCCCCCCCCCCCACCCCCACGACCAGATGGAAAAGTTCACCAGTGGAATATGTTTTATTAACAAAAAGATCCGACTGTCATTGTCAGATTTACCTGTATTTAATCTGAATTTTGTATTTGACCGTATCAAACTCTGATTATTTGGCTTTACGAGAGGAGCTCTGACAACACGGCATCCCATTGGTCAGTGAGACAAAGAGGCCCCTCATTAAGGAGCTGAATGTGGAGCTGCAGGTTCACTCAAAGGATGAGCCAGACATCCAGTAGGGTCACTGGGGTCTTTCGCATGATGCGCACGCTCTCTTTTAAGCTCGCCAGAATGCAACCCCCCCAAAAAAAAAATCAGTTTGGCTGTGCAGGGTGTGGGGTTGGGAGAATCCCAAATCAGCAAATCAGGTGGTTCTTCACAAGACCGAGAGCTAAAACGCAAGGAAACAAGGACAAGTCTTTAAGAAACTGTTATAAACTTACAACAGCAGGAGTGAGTCAGGCAAGCCAAAACTACCCAAAACGGGGTTTTCCTGTGGCAGTGAGAATGCTTTCTCATGGTTACCACGCATCAATTCACAATACTGCTTCTGGATTTTGGCATTTAATGGAAAATTTCAACACATCTGTGAGTTTAGTACTGTACAAATAATAATATAAATTCTCTGCTTAGTCTTTTTAATAACTGTGGAACAAAAACAAAAATAAAGAAAAGGAAAAGACAATACAGGTCTGATGAGACGTTCCCTCCTCTAAGCCAGTCCGAGTCTCCATCGTCTCAGAAACTCTGTCTGTGCGGGTTAGATGATTGAAGCACGGCTGCTTTGAGATAGTAACACATCTTCTATCAAAGGCAGACTCTGTCTCCATTCACAAAGCTGACTGTTGTGGTCGTAACTTCAGTAGGATTACATTCCCACGGAGGTGGGGATTATGCAAATATCCCATTTGTCTGGGGCAAAAGAGATAAAAAAACCTGCTGTTTCGCTTCGGACCAAACTCGTTTGACACTGAACGTCAGTGTCAGAAAGCACCGGCAGCGTTGTTGAGGATAGAGGGTTAACCTCAGCTAAGACCACAGCGGCAGCCTCCAGCTTTGCACGAAAAGCCTTTGAGGCACACAGAGACTGTCGTCTTCTTTGGCAAAGGGCACGAGGGGAGGCCTGAAACGGGAGAGGAATGGGCCTAGAAGGAACAGCTCAGAATTCGGGGACTAAATGGGGTGATTCCACTCTTTTCGGGGCTCCTAATCATGTTTTCACTGTCATACATGTTGAAGGATTAGAAAAATGAGTTGTCAGTGGTGTCCAAATTTATATATTTAAAGTCACGTGTGCTTTTGAGTTTTTCCTAGAAGTGACAAAGGCTACAAAAGAGTGAAAAAAGTACTTGATAACAACAAACAAAAAAAACTCAGTAAAATAAAATTCTCCATTCATTTTTACCTGTATTGCTTTCAGTTTGCTTTTCACAGGGCTGAGAAAATGTGGAACAAAAATTAAAAGTGTGCGCACAACGTCAGACCCTACCCTGATCATTTCCGCCACGTAGCTCTCGGGGCCGGTGTACTCTGTGGAGTCCTTCACCTTCACCAGGACGATGAAGAACAAGTAGTGCCACATGTTGTGCTCGACTTTGATGTGTTCTTCGAAAGTTACCGTCTTATTGTCGAACTTGTCTCTTTCCAAACCTGGGAGAGGAACAGCAACACACACGCACACACGCACGCACACACACGCACACACACGCACGCACACACACACACGCACGCACAGACAGAAAATAAACATTACACTCAATTCTTCGGAAGGGTGAAGAAATGTTTTGTGTTGCAACATGACATGATTGTTCTTGTGACCCACGTTGAGGGGACTAATGGAAAAAAAATAAGAGGAAATGTGATCACGTAGGAATGGGAAGATAAGAAGTCAGGGGTGATACATGCTCAAAATGCACCCCATTTTTTCAAATCACAGTAAAACCAATTAATTTTACTCAACATTTTTTAAAAGAAGGGGAAAAAAGTCACACACACACCAAAGAAAAACAACCAAAAAATATATATCGCCAAAGCAAACAAGTACGGTAGTTATTCTGATAAAATGCCAACAGGTGACTAAGGTCAGTGTCTGCGTGTGTGTACAGTTTAATGTGGTCAAGCCCCATATGGCAACAGGAAGAAACACTCCTCCTCCACAGCAGCACCTACCATGACTAACCATTCATTCTGGGAAGAGGAGGCGTTGGGTTTTTTAACCAGAAAAACAGCCCCCATTTTGCAAGCAAGCCTTATGTGAAGCTGCATCACTGCAGTCACATGTTTTTTTTTTTTCTGAGAGCAGGCTCCCGGCAGACCACTGGTTTGATTTCTGCTTGTCAGAGTCTAATGCCGTGTGCAACACATCGGTACGGTTTGCAGCTGCAACTCGGATGGAATCGAAAGTTCTAATTGTTTCTATCTATACTTCGAAGGGTGTAACCCCTACCGCATGGCAGTGATGGTAATAAAACAGAAAAAAAAAGCTGTGACAAATGTCAAAAGTCACCCTATTAAGCGGAGCCTCTACTGAGCAGGCAGACTGATGGTAAAAGCAAGGCAACGAGGCTGAATTTATTTCCCCCACCGCAAATAAAGCACGTCGTCTTCAGGATTTCCTCTTTCTTCTGCTTCTCGCTTCTCAGGTCAGCAAACGTGTCGATGATGACACCGAAGATGAGGTTGAGGACGATAATGATGACCATGAAGAAAAAGAGGAGGTCGTAGATGACTCGGGCTGCAAACAAAGGCTCCTGTGGACGTAAAGAGAGGAAACCTCTGAGAACAAACAGTGAGCTCGCCAGTCATGTTAGTCAGCCTTTAACATAGCAAACCAATGACAATCAGTTACTTATCTTTGTTCCAAAGAAATTTATAATTGTTAGTTAAATCTAATTTCGAAATCAGTAATCTGTAAAACATATGTTTTAAATACATCATAATTATATTTACTCATGATAGAGGTACATGCTAAACATGCAGTGCTGTCAAACCAACACAATTTGAAAGGGTATTTCTTGAAATGAGCTATGATCAAATAGAAACCATAAGATCTGGCATTCATCTAAACAAAATTTGACATATTGTTTTCCACTAGCAAAGCTGCACAACATCTTATCATAATGTAGGCAAAAAATGTGTTGTACCACAGAGCTGCTATATAAAAAATATTAATTGGACTTCATCTTGTTTCACTTTAATCTTGGGATTAAGTACAACACAACCTTTTTATCTTATGTAGATAAGCATGATGTCTTCATTAGAAAAAGGCACCTCCTCCAAACTGAAGGTCAAAGATGTTTGATCGCAGATCACTCAGTAAAATGCACCTATGACGTGCACCCATTCCAAGACATCATCATGACACCTTAACACTTGAACTCCCTTTTCTGATTTTACTCATACAGTTTTCACACTCACTTCATAGATTTTCCTACCAAAAGCCGGAGAGCTGGTTGATAAATACTTAGAAAAAAATTAGTTCAACACAAGGTATGATGCCCTCATTTGTGACCAAACTTCTGAAAGCCTCACATGTAGAAAACTGAGATTTAAGGGAGGAGTACAAACCCTGCCTGGTCAGCAGATCAACAAATAATACATTTTCCATCCTAAAAACTGGATGGAAATCCATTTAAACTGGTTTTCTTGTCCTGTACCAGGATAACACGGTGAGTTCCTTACAGTGAAATCTAGTAGGTTAAACTGTCTGTTTCCTCTCTGTAAAGCAATAAAAGGAAATTCAAATAAATGTTAATCTGAGTGTAATTTAATGTAAACCCCAGTCATTCCCTTATTCTTCAAGATGCAGATCTGAAGCATTCTGTGCAAGTGAGCCCAGTTCAGGGTTATTTCTGAAAGGCTCTCAGTCAGACAGACGGCAGCCTTTGCTGATCTTGTCACAAAGCATCTCGTCAACAGGATGTAAAACTGCTTCTATTTTGGCTTATTAGGTCAGATTTGTAATGTACTTTTTGAAGTTGGAGAAAAATCATTAAAGCATAAATGCTGTTTTTGAGAACAATCAAGTTTCTCTCATTCCTCTTAATTGAATCTAGTTTAATCAAATCTTCACAGTCTGTGGAAGGAGAATTTGTAGGTTGACGTCACGTGTGTGGTGTTGCCTTGTCAAGATAAGACACTTAAATTTCATTAACTGAAATTTCAACTGGAATTTTTTTTCAGTCAGAGTCAGAGACTTGCATGTGACTTTTTAGTCTTTGTACCTCTTTGGATGGCTTCCGCAGGACGTCCCCAACACCTCCTCCACTCCTGAGGCCATGACTCAATACCGTGACAATGCACATGAGCAAGGAGTCACACACTCGCTCCTTGTCCTCAATAACCACCGACGGCTGGACAGCCAGGGAAGCTATGGAGACAGCAAGATCCTCTTTAGAGCCGAATGCTAAGTTTCCTCTGCTCTATAGGCTGATGTTTAAAACATAAAAATAAAGTCAGCGTGACGACAGTTGGAATTCAGACAAATTTAGATCTGTTGCACTTATAAACGCAGCATGCATTGGTAATTGAATTTTAGGCTTTATGTTTTTTTCAAACAAGTTTAATCAAAGTGTCTGTTGGGGCTTAGCAAGATTGGACATATTCTCAAACTATTCTCACAAAAACAAGTCACCGGACTGTAATTAGCTGGTCCAGTGATGACAGATCCAGAGGTCTAGACAAGGTCAAAGCTCTGGAGGTTTAGGATTGGACATGGTTGACTGATCGATTTCAAGTTTTTGAATGGCGGCTTTTCTCAACCAGCTTGCAAGAACCCATTGTTTGGCGTTAAGGGCTTTCTGAGCCGCCACTGAGAGGATTCATCAAACCTAATTATGGCTGATGGTATTTAGCCTTTCAACCCTGGGCCCATACATTAGGTTTTAGGCTGGGTAACCCCCAGACCACAAGGGTCTAAGGCCCTGGCGTTGCATTCCGCTCCCTAAGAGCCGCGGCGGGGTCTGCTCGAAACCCATGATCTCCAATCCAAATGAAGGTAGCAACCGACCACAGACAAGCCACAGTAGAAAAGTCACGCACACACACTCAGGAATCTCCTGCATGTACAAACATGTAGATTCAGACTTCAAAACCCCCCAACAGCTTTGACCCCAGCGGTTATCCTCTAAACCATCTCCATACAGCTACTTAAACCTTTCAGTCTTATTGTCCTACCGTCCATTACGCTCTCCGTCGAGCAGTTTTCTCCATTTTCCTTCTGACACACTCCACCTGAGAAGAACTCTCCCACCATACTGGCTCCATGTTCTGTCAGATGGAAGTCAAACATAGATTCTTAAACAGTGTACACAAACAGACACATTCTTTGATGACATAAAGGGTCAGGTGGTGGGTTGTCCTGAAAAAAACTGTCTACGATAATTAAACACTTTTGAAATGTTCACCGCCTGCATTAATGTTTTTTTTTTCTTCCCTTTTTTATGATGAAGCAACAGCATTCCAGGTCTTTTGACTTCTTGGGTCAGCGGGTGCAATAACAGCTTGTTTCTACCTGCAAGTGATAGAGAAGAAACCTGCCCTTCGGCGTACCTAGGGTTTTGTTGGGTATCCTGTCCACAGCCAATATGAAGTCGTCCTTAAAGAAGATGTAGCCCACGATAGAGAAGAGGTAGACCAGGATGAGAGCCAACACGGCCGTCAGGACGATGGAGCGGCCGTTGCGGGTGACGCTCTTTATTACGTTCAACAGGGTTTCCTCCCGATAGACCAGATCGAAGAGCTGGAACGAGGAAGCATTCAAATGTGTGTGTGGAGCGTCTCTGTGAAAGGTGCACTGGGCTAGGTCTAGGACATTTATGTGTGCGCTCACATACTAGCAGGCTGTAAAAGAAGACGTGGACAAAGACCCCCAGGGTGCAGATAATAAGGTAGAGCAGGTGGTACAGGAACTCCACGTCCATGATTATGGCTTTATATCCGCGGGTGAAGGTCCCCCGGTTCCCGACGAAGCTCATCAGGAAAATCACTTTGTTACATAGCTAAAGAAAAAAGAAAAACATGTTTTTTTGGGGGGGAAGGGAGGACTGACATTGAATAATTTTTGCTGGTTTCTGTGAACATTGGGCATATGCTTACGTTAAAGCCCCCCAGCAGGAGCAACGTGGGCTCTAAGCCCACAGAGAAGATGAGGCGCAGGATGGTGGAGGCGATGAGCGCCCTGATGCCGTGAGGCTGTGGCAAGACGATCACAATAGCAAGAGACACCAGCATGGCCATCCACAGCAGGGCAGAGAGATGGGGCTCCAGAGTGCCTGGGGACGCAAAGAGGTCCCATTACAGCCGTTTAAGTCCAGGCCGGAGCAAACACTGAGCCATCCGATGCTTAACCAGACTCAGAAGTGATTCATACCATTGTCTACACCTACACGCCGTGTTTTTCCCTGACTTCACTTTGAGACAAAATCCTTTTTCTGTAGTTATTCATTTACGAGTAATAAGAGTAATAAGTCTGACCAAATTCTGTAGGTGTACCATGACGCAGCGGTCAGACTGTAGAGTAAAAATTCCATTGAACTCTTTTGCGCCGGTGATTGTGGGTTTTTTTTTCTTCTGTTTTTCAGACAAAATTGGGAAAGTTCACAACAGTCATCGTAGACGTGATGCATTATTTTGTAAGCCTGCGTAACATTGTTCGTATGATTCAAGATATCCCATCATCGTCTATACCTTGCCTTCCGAGAGGCTTCCTACTAGGTATCTCTCCATGTATGGGGCACATGGCAGGTACTCGTTATCCAACCTTCTGGCTTTGGCCAAATTCATGAAAGATTGTCCTTGTCACTGTTTGCAACAGGGTGCATGGGAGCTGAGGCTTGGCAGCCAACTGACACACATCAACTCGGACGAAATACAGCTTCTGTCGAAACATGATATACCAACTAGAATGAAATAAAAATTGCATGATTTAAAAACCCCAACAACACCAAAGACCCAGCTGATGATTAATTAGCTTGTAGAACCACCTTTAGTAGCAATGACTTGAGTTAAACCTTTTATCCAGGTGCAAAACAAGCCCAAATCATCAGCCCTCCCTGGTTGAGGTAATCGTGCTGAACCGTATCAAAACTCTGATCATGGCTTGGACTTGTTGGGATTTTCATTCCTGGGAAGACTGGAAACTTCTTTTTTTCCCTACATTTTCTGCTTGTGAATCATTTTTCTCTTTTACTGTACAATGACGGTCTTTCAGTGGTTTGGAAATGTATCTATAAGACTTCCAAAATTGAAGGGCAGAAGCAATTCTTCCTCTAAGATCATCATAGACGTCCTTCCACCAAAATGCTCCACAGAGGAAAACCGTCAAAGTGAGGGTGGACGCTGTTGTCCCACATGATTTTTATTCTCAATGACACATTTAATATTTAAATCTGTTGTAGTTGAATCCAACTCATTTAAAGACCTGGTACGAATAAAATGATTGTTTTTTTAATGTAATGAGGTGATGATAAGCAAAACCTTCAAATGGAGAGTGGGTGTACTTTCCTTTTCAAATGACTGTAACATCGGTGGCTTCATCAATATGTCAAAGCAACAGCATTCTGTCATAGGTCACTTTTTTTTGTTGTTTCGGAATGACTTGTCTACCAAGGTGACAATGAGATGCTCCAAAATAAAACCCGTTACCCTTTAAATGGAGAATGGACAGACGAGAGATAACTGTTCACTTTAGCGGGAACAAACACGTTTGAGTAAGCAAATTCTGTGATTTGACAATTGAACACAATCTAGTTTGTTGATGAGGGGATGAAATAAGGTAAACTAATTTAGCCGTTTTTACCAACAAGGATTTCACAGTACCTGTAGCATACAGCGTTGTTCCAGTTAACCTGATATCATTCTTATCATTGACTTTTGTATGTGTATGTTTCTTTTCATTCATTCATTGCTAAGAAGACGCTGCAGCTAATACCGGATGCTGTTATTTATTCGCTTCTTAACGGGGGCATGCGGCTGTTGTAGGAAATGCACCAGACTTGAAGCCACCCCGTACAAATGTGCTCCCCTGAAACAGCAAAAGAAACTAACCCACAGAAACCTGGACTCACTCTTGGTGTTTGCAAGGAAAAAAGATTCAAACCGCAGTTTCTATTAGAACAAACCACCTACAGGAAACCCTTCTCTTGACATTTTGGCGGCACAATTAAGGGGGATTTCATTGTGTTGTAGTCTGTCTGCGCAATCTTGACGATTTACCAAATCGTGTCAGGCGTGCAATGATTCCTCCCCGTGGGTTTGGAAAAAGAAATAGGTGGTTTTAGGAGCCGATATCTATTTTGTGCTAGGAAACATTGGAGCCTGCGAACCTTGTGTTAAGATTTTATCTTAACACTTGATAAGTGACTTGAGTCTGAAGCTGATAAATTTAACCCAATCTTGCAGTTGTCAGATTCATCAGGATTGACCCTCTAAGCTCAGAGAGGACCTTTGACACTTAAAAACCACATGGGGCTTCTAATGCTCAGCCGACGGCCCCCGTGCGTTTTTGTCTTTTCTTCTCCACTGTGAGGAGGCTTAAACAAAAGGGGAGCTCGCCGTTTGACCCCAGACAGAACAATTGAAAGTTGATGTGAACAATGTCTCTTTGCTGTGAAACAATGGCAGCCTTAATGGCTGTGGCTTTTCACATCCCCACAAACGCCGCCCTCAAAGAAAGCCGGGAGGAGAGGCAAAGAAACAAGCAACAGCAAAACAAACACACATCTGACGCTGCCTGTTGACTGCCTCGGTCACTCACTTGAAATATTTACCTTTATGTTGATGCATTTAGCAAATCAATGTAGATTTGTAGAGATCTGTATGATATTTGTGGGGAACCTTTTGCCACACAGACACATCAGTTTGACCGAAAACAGCATTGTTGAGATAATCCGTCAGACCCCATGACTCAACTTTGGACAGATTTCCCCCCCCCTTTTAAATCTATATATCAAAGCAGCACAAATCTGACTGACCAGAGGTTAATGTCACATGGGAGCACAGAAAGACGAGTACGCACAAAGAAGCTGGATCCCGTCCACATTAACCTTATTTCACCACGTGAAAATAATATTTATATATATATATTTTTTTTTATCACCACTGTTCAACAAAGAAAACTACATTTTCTCTTGCTGTTCTCAGTGCTGATTTTTAATTTAAAACAGGAAAAAAAAAATCTACTCTGTTTCCTGGTGTTGCAAGAGGACACGATTACTAAAATAAACAGTAAACAACCCAGCCTGAAATTATCATTTAAAATAAACTAATGAAGTAATTAAAAGGTTAGAAATTGTCTATTTTATACCACAAGAGTTGCCAGATGTATGAACCTTTATCAGTTTGTCACTTTGGCTGACAAATTTAAGGACTTAAGGTATGGTGCCGAGGCAAAAATATTTGCGATGTGCCTCCATATGGCATCTCTATCATCTGTCACTGTGGGTGTCACTTTCAGGCTCCACAGTTGTTTTTTCTTCCATTGTATTTAAATGCGCTTCCTGCGAGAGATTCTGCCCGATGTTGTTACAGCTGCATTCGATTTGAAGTGCACACACTCGAAATGATACCACTTGAGAGGCGTTCTGCAAGCAGCATTGATGATGACACAGGCAAAAAAATTATCTATGCATTTGTGTGGAGAGGTGGCAGTGAGAGCTGTGGCACTTTGGGCTGTTTTGACGGTACGACAATTCCAGGTTCAAAACCTCAGCTGGGTTCACGTTCTCCCCTCACATTGGCACTTGTGATAAATCTCACTCTGGTCGTGCCAAAAACCATAGAAGCACACACAGAACCAGTAGCAGAGGGATGCGTTAAAGGTCCCGTCCATCCTCTGCCCTCAAATTTATTTGGTTTATCAGTTGTTTTTCAAGCTGAAAGTAGATTAAAAACTGATACATGTGTAGAAAGTCCTACAGTGTGAGCGTTAGCAAGGACACGTCATACCTTTTGACTCCTTTGGTTCTGATACAACAATAAGAGAGACGAGGAATGAACTCTGAAGATGTGCGGAGGTCTTGTCTTTCAAACTTATACTTTTTTTGACTCATCTTTTAACGACAGGGGAAGGGGAGCACTGGATGACGATATGTCTCCCTTATTTTGCTCAAACCTGCTATGAAAGTGGAATGGGAAGGAGGCTCCTCGCTTATCTATTTATTCATTTTAGAGACCTCCCAAATTTTAATATCATGCCATCTCCTATAGACACTGAGTTGATTGATTATTAGGATATGCTTTGAATCCTCAACAGGAGGGATGGGGGAGTGAGTGAGGATGCCAGCATTAAACACAGCCTCCACAGCTTAAAACTAAGGGCCCCGGTTTTCTGATAACGCACATAGCAAACCACACTGTCAACGACCCACCCCACACCCAAAACTTCAGCAGTTAGATGGAGCCACTTACTCCCATTTCCTGTGTTGAAATAGTCATACTCGAGGTGTTAACCGCAATGCACTAAAACCATGCATGCAAAACACAATCAAGGCTTTAATGAGCATGCAAATAAAAATGGCTGATGACCGGTTCTGGCAAGTGCTCACACAGATGCGGCGACAAAATAAAGTCAAGTCACATGACCTGCACAGAAGAGTGGTTCCTGTGGAGCTCTGAACTCTGTAACACCAGATAACCTCCGTGAATGACTTTATCAAGTGTGTAAATCCTTGGTGCTCTTCCTCTAATCTTGCTGGGACTGTTATTTACTTGCCATCCACAAAGAGTTCGACCTCATGTGTTAAGCTGCTTTCACATGGGATGCGGTAGGTATTACGCCAGCTGCAAGCGGTGGGGGCACAGCTGTGTGGAGGAAGCCTGTACTCGAACCTCACCAGAGACTGATTGTCAGTTGCGCGGTCACTGAAGATAGTGGGTAGTTTTTTTTCTATCTGAATATATCTGCTACGCTTAGGAAAAAACAGAATTAGAGTCGCAGAAGAAGAGCAGGCGAGTAGGACTTTTGGAGGTCTTCTTCAGGCCGACTTGGGGATAAATTTGACAGCCTACAAGTCTGCTGAATCGCTTCGATTCCCCCTAACTGGACGTATTAACATACCGAGTCAAGCACGTGGACAGCGTGCCCGATCATGCTGGCAGCAGCCCAGATGTGCTGATCAGATCTGGAGGCATCTCATACGAGAGCAGCTTTAATCCTCCACCTCGGCACCGTGGCCATAACTACGAAAACGTCACACCTGATACTAAGGGGATACAATAAGACAACGACTGAAGGGGACTAACCTCCACGGACGCCTTCCAGTGGGTAGAAGAAGGCCACAAGGAGGTTCATGAGTACTGCCAGGTTGAAAGAAATGCTGCTCCAAAAGGACATGTTCCTGGAGCACCAGTATAGGATAGGCTGGGCTGGAGGACAGAATTTTCAAGCCAAGTTAACACACAAAGATGCAAAGAGAGCAATGCGGCATCAAAAGCATTGTGCACATGCAGCTTCTTTTAAGCTGCACTTTACTTCAAACGCACTGTGGTTAGAAGGGTTAAACAGCAAACACGCGTCGACGTCTGTGTTTCACACCAAACATTAGATCTCCATTCTATAATGCTTTGACAGTGAAATGGTGTCATAACGACTTTCTTTAAAGCCAGATTACTTCAAAACATGTGCAATCCCCCCCCCAAAAAACCCCTTTGAGGATGAAATGTATTGGCATTTTGAAAAAATGTGGGGTGAAACACATACATGAACCAAACAGATCCAAATAGTTGCATGAGGTTTCACTGTTGACAAAATAACTAAAATCAAATTACTCAGTATGATTATTCACTTATTAATTATCATTATTCATTATGATTATTCACTATTATTCATATATCCAAGCTCTTGAAAAAATTAAAAGATCAAATACATGGCTTTTATATTTATTCAGCTTTGTAGGATGGCAACAAATATAAATTAACATGAAACAACACTTCTGTAGATATCCTTGTGGGGATACCCCACTGATATAATTAGTCCAAGCTTCTTACTCTAATCTCAGCCGACACAACTGAATGCCTAACCTCCAGATTTCCCTCAACATTAACCTAATTCTTAACGTAAAGTCGGAATGCGTATAAAGCAGTCTAGACCTTGAATCGATCCCACTGGCTGGAATGTGGCCGGTTTAGTCTCCACTAAAATATACAAACGGAACATGCAGGGAACACTAGCACACACCCAGCCTGCGCAGACCTTGGTCAGGAGATCAGTATCGTGGTCGGCGCTATTTTGAGCCCAGCTATTCATTAGAAAAGCAGAACTGCGGGTGGGGGCTTTTAGCAACAGAAATCACTTTATCCATGGAGAGTGGTTAGCACCAGCGGAACTATTCGCATCTCCGCTGCGGTGATTCATTCGTATAGGAAACACCGTACACTGTTCGCATGTTCTGGAGGCAAAGAGAGAAACAATAACCCTCCAAGATTTGCCGTGAGACAAGTTAAGGCAGGCTCATCCGCCGAGATGATAACAACATAAACAACCCGAGAGAGAAAACAGTCAGGAGTCAGCGGGGACATGCCCTGACCTAACTCAGGAGTTTTTTTTAGGCACCAGATCTGCCAAACACTTCCCCATGTCTCTTAAATTTGGCATGCATCTTTCTTTCTTTCATTTAAGATAGAATTAGCATTAGGGACCTCAAACTGGAACGTAGATGATGAGTTCAAGTAGGTTAAAAATAAATACATTTAAAATAAGGAACATGACATTAGGATCTCATTCTATCACACACTGAGGTTTTTTTTTTTAGTGACCGTTCATTTAATCAACTACCGCATTACTGATAAGTCTGACATCACTGGAAAAAGTCACGTTTTGCATGTGAAAATTTCCCTTTACATCACACGCTGCGTTCCTATTTTAGGCTTTAATCACCCACTTCCTACTATGTATAACAAATTCATGACAACAGGGTTACTTAGAAATAATAAACTTAACAAGGTCAACAGGCTCTTTCCTCATCCATCCCTCCAGTGTTCACATGGGGACCTTTTATTTCAAGATTCATTTAATCAACTACCCAATTACAGAGGCAGCTTTACAAACTTTCCAAGAAAAAAAAAAGGGCTAATCCAATAGGGCACGCTGAAAACTGAAAAATTAGAGAAGCCGTTTCCCTTCTGCTGATTTTGCAGTCACTTCCTGAGTGTTATTGGTAGCACGACTCAAAATGAACATGCAGGTTAAACCTCGCAAAAGGCTGAACAAATAAGAGTTTCACCTTTTCTTGCCTGTGTATTTTTACATTTATCATTCAGCGGCCTGCAAAGCCATGATGTGGTTGGTTTGATTTTACTTTCTTTCCTTTATGTTTTACTTCCTTGTTTGACCTAAATGGGGAAGATCACAAAAGTGCTTTGGACCTGGAGAGATGCACGAGGATGGAGTGTCAACCAGGCACTATGATATCAAAAGTTTAGGAGAATGACGCACAGGGAACTGTGTTTGTGTTACCAGTAGCCTCTTGAGTACCTCGCAGCTTCTTCTGCCAATTCATTTCATTAAAGAGGTCTTCAGAGCGCAGGAAGAAGTCATTGATCTTGCTTCCTTGCTCATCGCGCTCTGTGGTGTAGTAGACTCGCAGCTTGGACTCTTGGGTGAGGAACTCACAGATGTTGGGCACTGGAAAAACTATCTGCTCCATGGTGCGATCCAGCCGCACAATCTGAACACAATCACAGGCAGCAGCCACCAAAACAAACTCGCTTTCAGTCTCCTGTACATCGTAGCGTGCATATGTCATATTTATGAGCCGTCGTTTCTGTTGATTAAATGTTCAAACCATGATCTGAAGCAGAAGTAGAGCTTTGTTACAAAAGAAACTTCACCGACAACTAGGAATAAGCTTGGAATGCCCTTATCAGCACTCCCTCCGGTCGCCGAGTGCACATGGGGGAATGTACAAACATGCCAAAGGTGCTTGTCATCATTCTGCCACAATGAAACTCAAACGTGGGCCCAAAATAAAAAAGACAGAAAGATATAAAGAAAGAAATCATGGCATGTCTGAAGCTAGTATGTTGCACTTGAAAAACATATCAGATAGGGAGTAAATGGAATTGTCTTACAAATATTTCATATAAAAAACATTTTAAAAAAGGAAGCAGCTGATGCAAAAATTGTTTCGCTGAAACAACATGCAACAACTAACCTCAATCTGAGCTGTGTGTTTGGCATAGAACTCCAGGGCCTCATCGCCCTCTCCGTAAGTTCCTCCGGGCTTCAACATAGCCTGCAGTTCCTTGTTGTGACGGGCTAACTGGAACAGATCAAAGAATGATATCAATCTCAGCTGTTATTGTCTGTGTTATCGGATAGTATTGCCGAGCTATCTTTAGGAACATTGAACTGACAGATAACAATCCACGCGGTTTCTTTTTCTTTTCTCTTTGTTTTTTGAAAGAATATCCCTTTATTTTAGGGTAAGAGGAGTAGCACTCCTCTGGCATTTGCCTTGTCGAATGCATCAGAGGCTAATGAGTGCGTAACCCGAGGACTTCAAGGGGAAAATCGGTGCACACTGACAGGTATCGCGCTTTTAGCGAGCACATTTCTGATGTGAAACTGTGAGTCACGGAGCATGCCATGCAGCAGCACATGTGAAGCGGCTCATGTGTGCGTCGGATCGTTTGCAACCCACTTGATGCGCCAAGATGTAGATGTTGTGGCCGACGTTGCGCGGGGAAGCGGAGTGCTCCTCCTCTTCATCTTCACCTTCCGCTGGCTCCTCCACCTCTATTTCACCCTGCATGTAGGCCTTTTTGATCACTTCCACCTGCCAGAAAGTGCACCGTCACGATAAACTCCGAGCGCCACGCGATAGGCCAAACGGTTTCATACACACCAACTCTTTAGGCCTCATGTTGTACAGTATCCTCTCAGCATTCTCGCTGTCATGGCGGCTCTCCATAATTGCGAGAAGCAGTTTGGAAGCATTGTTCTGTGAAAAAAAAAAGACGATTGAGGACACAGCGCAAATGGAGGAAATAAAATAAAAATCAAACAGGGTCTTTGTCAAACTTTACGTCAGTGTTTTCCAGCATGAACTTGCTCAACTCTATAAAAGCAGCTGTCACTGGTGCATTTGCTTGCGGTACCTTGGCAACCCGGGGAATAATTTGATTAGAGGGTCACGCCCCAAAGCTTATAAAGCTGTTCACGTCAAGCAACTAAAGGCTTCAAAAATATTTCTGACGGGGGGTGGGGGTCATGTGATGCTCTCATGGGACGCATCAAATCAAGTAAAGCGACCAACGAAACACAGACCAACCTGTTGTCAGAAACCACCGACTGAACCCATGAACACTTACTTTGAGCTCCAGCACGAGGTCCATCCTCTTCTTGCCGAGGGGGTTAATGTCATTCAGGATGAGGGCGATGATGATGTCAATGCCATTGCACTCGTGAGTGGCAATACAGTTCTGAAAAACAAGAGAAAACGCACGTATACGGATGAGATCATTCATATGCATAATGTACTGATTTATGGCAACAGATGGAACACAGAACAATACTGAGGAGTACAGTGTCTGGGTCTGAAAGTTAACTTTGAGTAAGCCTGATGAGTAAGTCTGCACATGAGCATATGTCAATGGTGATAGAATTCATTATAGTGCATGTAGGTGCTAAAGAATCTGTTAACACACTGTACAGGCAACATAAGCTACTGTTTATATATATAGAAAAAGGACAACACATGCCAGCAATATGTCACTGCTGCTCAATTTCACATGCTCAGATAGCTTGTTTTTTTTGTTATCTTAGTGACAAGACCCATCTATACATCATTTGCAACCTCACAATTAACAATGGTGTTAATGACAGTGCCTGTTTGAAAAGTAGAGCCCTGGTAAACCACGTGGGGCTCACCGCTTACAGCCCAAACACCAGTAACTATGTGGACTGATCTCTCTATATGCACTTTGTTTAATCTCCACTTTGAAAGCAACACAGGATGCAAAGAGGATAAATCATGGACGCTTGGCTTGAGCAGATATTTTTCTATTCATGCCTCAAAAATGCTAACCTAGAGTCATTCGCACACGCAAAAAATTCATATTTTAACAATTCCACCTGAGGATCGTCGAGGCACCCGACAGCCTTCGTCCGTTTCTGCCTGTTCAGAATAGCAAGCAAACTTTTATTAAGTGTATGTTTAAGGAGTGTAGACGTCAGGTGAGAACACAGCCAATAGTTGGACACCACTTATCAGCTTCTGAGCAACAAAAAAAAAAAAAAATCAGTCTTCAGATTCTTTCCCAAACCAAATCACACCTAAACTCATGAGACCCTTATGACTCACATGCCGTGGCGCAGGTCAGTGACCAACCTGACCCCTGTGACTCCAAAGGGGTTTTAAAGGCTTCCCACCTTCCAGTAAGAAGTAACGACCCCCTTTGGATGAGGGGTTAAATGTCTTTCACCAAAAAAAAAAAAGAAAAAAAGAAAAAGAAAGAAGGCAGCTTTTTGGGGCTTACATGCATATACTGTGAAATGGATGACTGGAAGAACAATTCGTCCTTCTATTTTAGAGGAAAAGACTTGTGTCGAGTCAATCCAAAAGTGTGCACAGGCACGTGTTTAGTCACGGCAGTAAACAAGGCCAAGCAGTGTTTATCTATACCAACAGACAAACACAGGTAACGCTGCCAAGAGTGAGCTTGTGTTACACTGTAAAAAGGGCTTGTGCAGCTCTGGTGTGGCAACAGAGCCATACCCAAACAAAGACGGCCAAAACGATCATTTCAGCCCCTCTTAGTTTGAGAAATACGTCACAGTGTTGATGCATCACCTGGTTCTCATGACAGGGGCCTTGGCAGTACTCGGTGAGGCTCTCCACTGTCTGGTTGATGAGTCCCACGTTCTTCTCGTTGATGTAGAGCCCCAGCAGCCCCAGCCCCCCTGTGGTGCTGCCACAGATACAGTCCAGGAACTGGAGAGTCTCGCACACCAGGTTATAGTTGTTCTTGTTGTTCTGGTTGCGTAAAAAGTTCTGCAGAATGACAGGGAGAATAAATATGACATAAGAGACATAAGCAGTTGTCAACTTTGTTTATCATTAGTCTTTTTATTTATTTATTTATTTATTTTTTTACAGCATTTATGTCATCCAGATAATGTCTGACTTTGATGAGCCATAAAAGTAAAAAAAAAATGGGAGGTGTAAAACTGAGCCAAAGTCCAGTAGAGATGGCTGGACTTCATTCTTCCGTTGTTATCGCTGTTATCGTTACTTATCGTTACAAAGGAAAAGAAACACAACACAGACGGGCTGACAGTAAATCATTACCTTGCACCCTTGTGCAGTAAGGATAGGTGACGCAGGGGAAATCGAGATCAAGGCGACTCTGTCTGAGCAAAGACCTGCTGCTGTTTGGGGTAGTAAACAGAATCTGTGCTTGAGGGAAGTTATTCTGTCTGGGCTGCTGGAGCTCGCACATATACACCCTCATTGTGAAACCAGACCAAGACATAAAAGATATGGAAACAACAGCGTGAGGCAGTTCTGCAACCTGGGCCTATTTTCAACGCAGTTTCGTTTCTGTGTAACCGAGTGCGCTGATTGAAATTCAGAACATGGGTCAGGGGGAGTTAGCGTGCTATCAGCCGCTTGAACAACAAAAAAAAAAAAAAGAGGCAAGGGAACTTGGGCGGAGCAGGATTCTTACGGTCACATGGAACCCTGCCTAATGGCTGACCTGCAGATCTCTGTTGTGGTTCTCACAGAGCAGCTGCATGAGGCGCAAGATGGGCTGCATGATGGTGATGATGACGCTCATCTCGCCTTCGTCCTGGCTCTTGTCGGCGGTGGGTAGGGGGGAGCCGTCGGGGGCGGCCTGGTGCTCCTCGGCTTCGGCCTCGCGGCGGTAGGTAGTGTAGGCCTTCTTGGTGACGGCCGAGGCCTCCACCAGCTGCTCCTTCACCTCCTCGGTCACCACTGCCACCACCGGTACGTCTTTCACTTATCGGGGGAAAAAAGAGAAAAGCACGGCAGTTACGAAGACTGTTCATCTGAGAAAGAACAGATCTGTTAAGCATCCAGTTTGTTGCATTTTTACTATCCCCCAATATTAAATGACAGATATTCTTTTTAAAAGCATCACATGGATTGAGATGTTTGTAAGAACTGGGATTTCAGACCGACTGCACAAGAGACAAGAGACCCACTTGTGAGCTCGTCATTTATCATTAATCCCTGACCTTTCTTGCGGGTGGGCATGTCTTTGTCCAGCGGCTCCTCGTCCTTCTTCTTGCTGCCCAGGTCACTGGTGTTGACCGTCACGGTGGCTTTGATTTCCTGCTGGGCCAACTTCATGCGCTCGTAAAACACCTTGAAGAATTTCTCCGACTTGTTGTCCCCCGTTAATCGTTGATAGAAGGACCGCTGAGGAAAACCAAAGGCAGTATTCGAGTTTGTGTCTCATTTGCCCACAGGTGACACTTTCTACCTGATATCAGGACACATGGCAACAAGGCAGCAGGCAACGTTATTTTTATCAAAGAGGACACTTTTGTTGTGTCCTGTTGCCTTTCCACCCATTGTCTCCTTTGCTTCATGTGGTGTTGGGAATTAGGGCTTTGATTCCGAGCGTTTACATAAGCCTCCTCTCAGAGGAAAACGTGCTCAAAGACTTCACCGTGCTGAGCGGTTGACCCCCCTCTGTTCCCTGACCCCCCTGATCAACGCACGTTTCTGGCAAACCCAGGACGGCACTCAGCGCTCACAAAAAGCACGAGCCGCAGTAGGACCAGCGACAGGGTTCGGGGGGTGATTTTTTTTGGAGAGCGCGGATGCCAAACAACCGGTCCGGCGACATGCTGGGGCCACGTGCTGGGCATGCTTCAAAGGTGAACGTGCACTCCCGCATGAAAGCAACTGCTCTGAACCGAATTGGGGTCGTTCGTTCGACAATAGAAACCTTTTTGTGACGGGGAAAACAAAAACACAACTCCCGCAAATTGCCTGCTTCCAGGAGCTCTGCAGCTGTGCGGGAGACGGTGAAGTCAGGGGGAGGAATAAACGGTTCAACGTGCGCGGCCGCCATACAAAGGGCAATCCCTGTGTTGTTCTGCGGCGGGCTCCGTCCCATTATTCCCCCCCCCCCCCAACAATCCCTCCTTATGTAAGGCCTGTAATCAGCTGAGTGGTTACAGTTAGGGGCACACGGCGTCTCGGCTTTAAACCTGTTACATCAGCCCGACAGGAGGCGAACGGTGGGGCGGCAGGGGGAGAGGAAAACCCCTGGCCCACTTTCACTGCCAGAACGGCACGAAGAGCGCATGTGGCGTGAGCGGGAAAAGAGGTGGGGTCGGCCGACGCGAGCGGGAGTTATCGCACACAGGGATTCTGGGGCAGTTTTGAAAAGCCTGTTACGTAAGACTCTTTCCAGGTTCGGCTTAACTCAATTATGTCTCAGAGGAGGGACGCATGCACACAAGTGAGACGCCATTCAAGTGCCGCGCGTGGCACTAACCTATCATATCTGTGCAAAAGATCTCTGAAAACGCCAAACAGTGCAAGGCATTGAGAGAAAATCTGCCGAATCACCTGATAAGTCCCGCAGGAAGCCAATCACTTAATGTATTAAGTTGTTTTTCTCCTCTCCTTTATGCAACTATTTCCCCCTCCTGCTTGTTTTTCAGGCTCCTAACATCATGACGCCAACGAGATGGGGTCATTTACCGACAGTGATCTGATCAACAGTCTGACTTACACAAGGAGGCAAACTTCTCCGGCCTGAGAACAACAGCTCCGGGACAGCAGCCTGACGAGATTACCGCATTAACACAGACCTCATGACGGGGGCCGTGAAAACTCCATGCGATCTCAAATGTGGAGAGAATCTTTTTGTAAACACTTGTTTATCATACAAGCCTCGGGGCCAAAGCATTCGCAGGGGGAGTTTGTCGGGTCAGACCTCAGTTGTTTTGAACCAGCATATGATGGCTGATTAGAATAAAAGAAACAAACAAAGCTGACCATGAAGCTTGTCAAGTCTTACTGCCTATTTAAATACAACTAAACTTTCCTTTTTTGTTCTTTTAGCATGTTTCAAAATGAAGATCTACCAGAGAAAACAGCTGCTGATCAACTAGTGAGACACAACAATGTCTAAAAGGCATTTAATTTGCTAAGTTGCCGTATACAAATTCTTCACCTGCCTTTTTTCCCCCTATAGTACACTATGCCCTCCACCTGCAGATGATGCATGTAGCATTTTTAGAGCCTAGTTTCTCCAACAAGGGCAAAGTTTAAATTTGCTCAAACACTGCAGTTGAAACAGTCTCCAGATGCAGCTCCCCTACAACTGCCCCGATCGACAAATGCGTCAAAGCAGTCTGCCGGGAGCACCGTTAATCAGACACAGACATGCTGAAAATTACAACCCACAGCCATTATTTTGGATGGAATATCTCAGATGTGTGCTTTGGCTCAGATTAAAGAAGAAAAGGAAGGGGGTGGAGGGTCTAGTTTGTCATAAAATGTCCCCGCTCCAGTTTAACTGAGTGACATGAATGAGGAGATCCTGCTTAATAAGCATTTAGCTGTCTTGCAAAGCTAACCCCAGAGCATGTGATGTGATTAGACCCAATTCAAAATGCACCACCTTATGTAAGATAAACGTCCCCGCCACACGATGTGTTCGGCATGTGCTTCTCCCCAGCGCCTGCTGAGTCATTCGCTAATAAAACTGTCTGTCAGCTGATCAGCCTCGGCTTTTCCTCACAGGGAAGGTTTAACCCTCTGTGCCCCCCCCCCACTCCCTCCAGCACCAGCTAAGCCATCTGCTCATGCTGCCGCCAATCGTGTGCGACATGTTAGCGTTGCCTGATTTTTCAGAACCCGCGGGGTGGCCGCTGTGGGGCTTTGCGGGGAATTCTCTGGTCTATTTTCCTCCCTCCGTCTCCCGACAGATGCCACCCTGGCTCCTGGCATCAACACGGGCCGGTTATGCAAGGCCTGTTTATACCAGCAGCTCTCTCTCCGGTTTCGTCCGCCTCCCGCCAATGCAGCTCCACACCTTCGCAAGTGACAAAAAACCCATCCCGTTGCCTGTCGGAGTGCTGTGCCTGTGTACTCTGCCACCACCTATCTGGCACTCGCAGAATCCAACTTACTCTTTCGAGCTGTGACAAACAAGGCAGCGACAATGTTTATTTCAAACGGTGGGTCATAAAATAATCAAACCCCATTATGACCGTGGAAAAGAGATTCCCTTGCCCTTTCGGCGTTCGTATCAGTCTTGGTATGTTAATGGCTCCGGTGCCTGGAAAGTCACTTTGCAGGATCTTTTTAAAGCTTTCCAAGAGGTAGAGCCGTGAAGTGGACTTGGACCAATGTGGGCTGAGGGCATTTAATCACGCTCAGAAGGCTACTCGAGCCCGTCGTAGTCGTAGTCTGAGTCGCGGGGGGGGGGGGGGGGTTGGGGGGGGGGGGGCCCCTTTTCCCCCCTGTGAGAGTTGGGGGAGCTCAAGCCGTGAAAACTGTGTTGAGATGAGCGATGGCTGCACTCCGGCTCTTACATAAGACAAACAGTCTCTCTCAGGGCTGTTTTTGGAGTCTCTAAGTATATCTTGTTGTATGTGTGCGTGCGTGTGCAGGCCGCTGGGGTACAGAGATGGATATGCCTGAAACGGGTCGTGATATAGTGTCTGCAACGTGCTTGATAAAGTTATCCGTGGACTGTTGGACTATTTGCTGCTTATCATCAAACGATCTTGAGGGTGTTGCCACCGACATCAAACAACATGTTATCTCGTTCACGACGCGCAATACAGGCTTAGGATGTTAGGACAAGAGTTCAGTACTCCTACTGTTTGACAGTAGAGCTATTATTGTCAGATGATTTTGAAATTATGTATTCAGTTACCTTTTGCTTTTAAAAGTGAAGATGGTGTTTTTGGTTTAACGGAGTGGGACCCGCTACTGCGGGACTGCTAACGTTAATGGTTGGTTTTCCCTGCTGACAGCGTTCAGAGCTGAAGGGTAGTAGTTCACGTTGGGAATTCCCTTCACAATATCAATATTGGGTGAACTGAAGTAAGGATTCAAACAGGGAAATACACCATATGTCATTACAGATGCATCAACCAGTTTATGCACCTATTGCCTCGACATATGTAGGTGCTTAATGAACATAACTAGCTTTGTTTTTCCAAATGTGAAGCGAAAGTAAAGGAATAGTGACTGCTGCACCTACATTTATAGACTTGAGAATGTGGCATATCTGTGTTGAGCGAGCTAAGCTTCACGCTGATTAGACTATAAACACAAAAACCTTTTGGACTGTCAAGGAGCACAAGGCTGCCAAATGTAGAAGACAAAAATCGAGGGAAAAAAACCCAAAACAAAGTTACAGGGAACCATTCTTAAAATGTACGGTCGTAAGATTAAGATTTTTTTTTTGATGAGGCATTTAGAATGCTCCCACAACTTGTGAGGATTGTGTGACCTCAGGCTCAGGATTGCACAATTCAGGTGTACAGGTGCCAGGCTTCTCCAAAAAGCTGTTGGACTAGAAACTTAACTCACAAGTTAGTTCAGTTCTAGCTTTTTCCTCTTATTCTATGTGTAAGTCTTAAAGCTGCTTCTCTTCAGCCTGCAGCTCCTCATTATTCTGGACTCTGTGAACCAACTAAACTTGCTGGGCACGCTTACCTTTTCATACTCTTGCCCAGGACTCTAGATGGTTGAAGCCTACTAGCAGGTTCAACACAGGCAGGCTTTGTTTGTTTTGTTTGGCTCAGTTCAGAGATAATGGTTCTGATCTTTCTTAACACAGGGTTTAATCTTCAGACACAAAATATGCCAAACTCCAGACACTTTATTCACTGTAAGGGGAGGTTTCATGAATGGAAAAGAATGAAAACATCTTTTCATAAAACAACAATAAAAAATAAAGTTTCATTAATTAAAAATACAAAGACCGCTGTGAAATAACTGAAAACTGGTATTTTCCACCATCATTCAGAGATATCTTTAAGATGAAAATCAAGTTCTATAGCCAGTATAGTAAGAAAAAGCTGACTTTCTGACCAACACATGCAACTAATCTCCCTTTGTAGTGCAAATCAAGCTTAGTAAAGCTTACTCTGCAAATTCTCACTGTAACAGGCCACTGTGCAAATCTTAACACTTATAATGTCTGAACATGGGTTCACCACACAGCCCAGTATGAATAGGCAAGCAAAAATGAAAATATTTAGTCTTAACTTAAATTTTGTTAGCCCAATGTCCCATCCTGTTTATTAGAAAGATGCCATTCTGACAAAGAGATAAACATGTCTGACAAAAGAGGTTGAGAAAATGATATCTGGTTCCTTTTCTTTTGGGATGCACTTCTCTTGTCCCTTAGCGTCATCATCTGAACAGCCTCTTGCATAGATCACTGTACTTTGGAGTTCTCAATCCACCACTCTAATACTTGCTTTTCGCCCCAGATATTTTACTGGCCGGGCTACAACTCTGGATTACCCTGAAAGCAAACAAGCAGCCTGCTTGCACAAATCTGCTGGGCATGTTTTTCATTTCGACAACAAGAACCCCTCTGTCCTGAAAGCGGGGCAGGCGGCTAAATTGTTGTGTAAGACAGGGAAATGTGACGCATCTGCTGATATGGAGTAAATTCACTCTTGATCATACATAATCTTTAAACAAGGCCTACTTGTTCAAGCATTGTGTGCCAAAATCAGTAGAAAACACTTTAGCCTTGATTGAAAACATTTTTAATAGCTCCAGTTTAAACCAATAAACTGCTTTGCAAAGGTCATCTGTACGTTCTCTGTAATGTATCCAAATAACTGGAACCACTCCAACTGACCGTCAAGTAACAGCTCAACACAAAGCACTCTTTGATCATCCAACATAAAAAAAATTACCAAGCATGCAAAAGAAGTAAACTCCTGGCCGCAGGCGACTTTCAACAACACTCCTAACTGTACTCTGACTTTAGGGAAAAGTCAGGAAAGGTCAGAAAACATGATGACTCAGTTTCAAAGGCAAATTAGGGTAAATGTCTGGAAAACTGAAGGGAGTGAGACTCCCTTAAGATGGGGCCCGAGTCTGAAATCTACTGTAACTCTCCTCTGGCCCTTTTCCATCAATGAGGCATGACTATGTCAGTCGGGTAGGAATGTAAGGAAGCTCGGGGGCTCTGGATGTCACTCATCCAGGCAGAGAAGGAAGGCAGCGGCATATGTAGCAACAGTCATTTGCATGACTTTGTGCGAGCTTTAGGAAGTCAGGACAAGTCAGGTAACGATAATATGCAAATCGCTGCTTATTATGCAACGTTCCTGCTTATGCAACAGCACAAACAACTTGAATCACGCACGAACCACAAACCAGAAAAATCCTGACAGGGTGCTAGTGAGCGGAAAAAGCACACGCAGAGACTCAAACGTGCACGCCCAAACTCTACAAGACAGGCAAATGCAAAACCCTGCAAACGACTCAGGAGCTCTCTTCGGTAAAACCGGCCTTTCGTAAGGTTTTGCAAAGAGTAAGCGTCGCCTTGGCAACCCCTGGCTAGCAGCGGGACGGTAATGACGCGTTTAACTGCACAGCTTAAGCCTCTCGGACCCGGAGAGGGGGGGGATCGCTCCCCCCTCTCTGTGTTTTTTGGTTTAGCTTATTTCGCTTGTTTTCAGCTTCATCTGAATTGCGAGCGAGTCCGAACGTGTCAGGATGCGCCGTGCACCCCGGCTGTGAACCGCTGCTGCTCAAAATACAACTAGGCTACTCTGCGGGTGGCTGCGAAGGCCTCGCAGAGATCCTAGTGCCCCCCTGTAATTGCCACAGCCCTGATTCTGGAGCACCGAGCCCGATTAAAGCCCTTGCAAACCACCTTGACCTGCGGTGTTCGTGCTGTGCATTTGTCAAATCTGGCCGCTCCACCGACCTGAATGACCGTGTTCCCGCCCTCCAGCAGCGCAATGGCCAACAATATGCTCTCCTGGAATATCCGATCGCTGGTGGCGTTCATGATGAGGTCGATGACCAGGTCGGAGGCTCCCTCCTTGTCCAGGTGGCACTGGACCTCGGCCAAGCTCAGCTCCCCTCGACCTCCGACACCGGAGCTGACAACTGGAAACACAAAAGACAAACGACTATTTTACACCTTAAACACCGGTCCACTCAGATGTCAGCCAGGTTCCATATGGATCAAAGTAATCATTTTTAAATCCATCTTATTTTACACCGCACATGGCCCGATGATTCCTGTATCAGTAAGACAGTTTGATAAGAAAGAAATCAGCAACTGAAGTGTTTAATCAAGAAATGTTGCTTAAAGAAGGTTAGAATAAGAAGCCATTTGGTTGTTTGGAAGTAGGGATATTGTGACGTGCGCACACAAGTGACATTACAAGCATCTGTAATGCACAGAGGTGCTTTAATTCCTGCTGCTGCCAGTCAAGGAAGAGCCGGTGACATAATGGCACCCGCCAGAGCCATCACTGACCGGGCAGGCGAGTGAATCAACAACACGTCCTATTCTCGACGGGCCCTCGGAACACCGGTCGCCTGGCAACAACACGGACAACATTATGCCAAGCGGAGAGGCAAGCACGGCTCAGCGGTGCGGCCAAATTGAACGAGCTTAAAGGAGGCTGCCAATAAAACCTTGCATTTCTCCCCCCCCAGTCCTTTTCTGCCTTGGAGATGAAAAGGTGTGTCGCGTCTGAGATGAGACGCAGTAACCAGCTGAAATTTGACTAAGGGAATCGGGCAATTTGTGAATGAGCGTTTCAGATCAAATAAGACTCCGCTGTACACACACACCTTTATTGGCTTATGCAAATCCTTTAGAGACAACCTGAAGTGCATCTGCTACATCAGTAGATTACTACTACCCACTGGGAATTGTCAATGACGTCTTAGTCATTATTCTTTGCAATCTCTGTAAACAAACATTTTGACGTGAGGGGAATCAAAAACTACAAGTGAAGTCTTCACTTTGAGATTCACACAGAGATAAAAAGCGTTTTTTTTTTTGTGTTTCCCCCCTGTGTCATAACTTTCAAAGTTATTTCAAAATGAGAAAAATATGACACACAACCTCTCACTGTGGCTAAAGCAGGAGGATGTTATCACACGTAAACTAATCGGTAGCGTAAAAATATTAAACAACAATATGTTGCTCCTGTTGGCCAAATATTTGATTTAATTTGGTATATGTTGAAGCAGTTGAAGCTTTGAAAGTTTTTCATCGTTTGGGACCATTTCATCTCTACGAGCGGGCCCATTTCTACAGTTTTAACACACCTGTGGGGGACTTTCCCTGCGCTCCAGCTGCAAGTGGACCGTTGCTGAAGGTTGTGAGGCTGTCCCTTCTCTGGCCAGCTTTGACATTCCCATAGTACCGGTTGACCAGAATCTGCCGCAGAGCCTCACCCTGTCAGAGAGAAATGGGCGTGGGTAAAGCCGCACGACGTCGGCCCGCAGACATTTATCTGGATTCCGATGAAACGGCACAGGACCATGACATCAATGTAAAATTACACCCACACAATGTAAATTCCACACGAGAACCCCAACAACACAAAAACCATGGAAGGTTGAAAGGCAGAACAAATAACATAATTGAAAAAAAATCATTTAAAAAAAACTTGGGTTACCATTTGTCTTTGATCTTTATTATGATATAATGATTAAGTAGACCTTATATATATTTTTTTTTAATTACACTGATATTTTTCCATGAATAATAGACAGAAAAGGAACAACAACAACAGTCTGATGCACGTGGGATAAACTTCTTAAAATGAGCTTCGCACAAAAGCCTAAACAAACCATAAAGGGAACCCTAATTAGGTCCTCTTGAGGACTGTTTCTGCATGTTACATTTCATATGGCCCTGACATGAGTGGGTGCCATGCTGTGGAAGCACTGTGACTGTGAGGGCATTGCAACAGTTAGTAGATGGTCGGACTCCTGGACCAGATCACGCCAAACCGGACTTTACCTACCCTCCTCTGATCCTCCACTTGCTTCAGTGGCTGGCTGGGATCAAGCTCCTTTAAGGGTGATGTGAGTAAGCGGAAAGCATCCAAATAAGAAAAAGAAAATAAATAATAGAAAGGATCCGAAAGGGAAATTGGGGAACAAAATAGGTTAATACAGTGCACATTAGTTATTTGACAAGCGTGCAGGAAACGGGGTGCAATTTCAAATCGTGCAGTTAAGAGGGAAGTGGTTGTGTCAGGGAAGATGTGAGGTTGAGTCAAAGTCATGCAAGCCGACATGCAACGGACTAGTCGAGCACAAAAGATTTCATGTGGTGTTTTTTTTTTTCTTTCCTCAACTTGTTATTGATCTAGTGAGCCACATATCCACGGTCAAACGTGGGAAATATCAAACTTTGCCCTTAATGCTTTTCGTTTCAGGGCAGTGGCATAACAGCAAAGGCATATTTACATAAGAAGGGAGTAAGCGCAAATCATGAGTGAAAACATAGAGGAGGGGAGAAAAAAAAAAGCGTCCAGGTTATATAATGAGGCTGTGAGCTACTGATACACACACACACACACACACAAACACACACACTGTAAGCACCAATTTGGCATGGATAAACACCTCATCCGTGTCTTTAAACTCCACCCTCACTGCCAGCCTGCTGTACAAAGGGCAGCGTTTAAACCAGCGTACTGGTATAAATGACGAACAGAGGGCAGGATTGGGAGGTGGAAATGTGAATGAGTTGAGAGGTAAGATATAAGGAACAAGCATGAAATAAGTTTCATGATACACGCTCCAGCGTCTGGGCTGGAGGAGATACGCAATGGGGGGGGTCGATCAAGAGGAAATGCACGAGGATGGGTTGGGACCCTACGCGTTTGGATGAAGTAACGTCTAACACTGAGCACGGACACAATGGGATGAAGCTGAGGCTTAAGTACGAAAACACAATCTCTGATCAGCATTGAGCCTTATTATTGGCCAGCGTGGGGTTTTAAACACACCTCAGGAGGGACTTCAGGCTCGGGTGGAGGTGCCAGCTGATTGGAGATAAAAGGATGGTGTTAGTTAGGGTTAGAAGATGCTCAATCCGTTTGTTGCTTTGCCCCCCCGAAGTGTGGGAGCTCCCTTACAAGCCATCTAAGCTTACGCCTCGTCCTCAAAAGTGCCTTTGTTCTGATGCACCTGCATCTGACTTATTACTGCTCTCCAACAATCACAACTGGACACAACCAATGTGTGGGACTCGAAGACACAGGTGGAGAGGAAACAGACAACGTTTTTTTTTTTCTTTTTCAAGTCATGTGCCTTGTTAGTTGCTTTCATGAGGTTTGCTGGGTGACATGACATGACATGAATGGTAAGCGGCATTAACCTGTGGCAGCTCGAAAGCAGAAGCAGTGAACTAAAGAAAAAAAAAAAAAGAAGAGAAAAAAAAAATTCTATGCCTCATATAGTAACCGCAGAGTTCCAGTTAAAATGCAGCACTCGGCTGTGTATTCAGAAACCTGTTTAGCCTCCCGCCAAAAATAACATGACTAAATTCACGTTTAAAAGATGTGAACAAACTCGACCAAACATGAACATGTGCTTTTATACTGGCCTCTAAGACATAAAGATAATTATCTGTCGCTCAAGCAACACAGAAGAACACCAAATAAAATAAAATAAAATCATTTCAAAGGGAGGGATGTATATAAATGAACCTCTTGAAGCATTACACACAATACTGGAAGAGCAAATTTGTTTAAGAAAGAAAACCCCAAACAACCCCAAAAAATAAAAATTAGAATTAGGAAATGGACTTAAGTATTTAATGCCAAAGTGACAAATGATGATACATAGTGGTCAAAGTACAGAGGCAGCTACTTAAGAATGTGACTTTGCACTAAACGCTGAGTTAAGGTAGACACACACACAGCAACAAAACAAACAAACAAAAAACAAAAACTACCGCATGGGGGAAGTAAATACAAACTTGCAACCCACCATGGGCATGTATGCCTCGGTGTGCAACCCTGTCATGCAGCCTTATGCTGATTAATTTTGCAACTGGACAGGAATTTCCCCAGTGATGCCTCCTTTAATGTCGACACCACGATTTCCACTGATTCACAGGGCAAGCAACTGAAGGTGTTCAGCCTCCGTCATTAGAATTTGATTTGATTTCCCCCCCGTGTGCAGTGGAAGAGCACGATCGCTCGTCTCAAAGTCTCGCCTTGTTCGCCCTGTTAGCCAGTGACAACGGCTTATCTGTAATCTTTCCAGGTATAAAATTATGTGCTTAGTGTCTGGATTAACTCCGCAGGTGCCGGCATCTCTTTCACTTATGTTTACTCGCGACGTGTAGGCATCAGTGTCAGAAAGACATAATGGGTTTTCAGGAATCAGAGTGGGATCGGAGGTTCAGGGAGAGGCCGTTTGGACTCAAAACAACACTTTTCCTTTGTGGCACTCCTAAAGAATCATTAAATACTGCGGTAAAAAACTACAAATAAAAAAAAAAAAGGCTTGAACAACACCAATCTGAGGTATAGTCAATAATAGAAAATTGTCTTACAGGGTAGTATGTGCATTATGCTGAATATGTGTGCGATTATCAGCCCAAATATCTTCAATATCTCCATGCCCCTTAAATTATGACTGAATGAAGGTGAATAGCTCCTACTGTCCCCTCGAAGACGTTCTGCTGCACTTTTTATTGCCAATTACCGCCGAGGTCACATATCAGCAGACAGTTTAAAATTCCAGGGAAAAAAAGAAGAAAAAAAAGAGGGGAGATCAAATTTATTGTTGGCGATTATGTAACTGTTGCTTGAGAATTGGCTGGAGCCCAAGAATGTGCAGCATTAGGTTAAGGAAACTGGGACAGAGCTGTTTAATGCAGGAAAACGTCTCCTGCTCCCCCTGTTGAGGAAGAACGGACACTGCAGGCTGTAGCCAAACAGCAAAAACCAGGATTAAAAAAAAAGGCAAAAAGAGGGGACGATCTGGGGGAGTCTGGCTGGGCAGTACTGGTTTTTAAGTGCAGAACAAAAAAACCCAGCTTGATAAAGGCCAAACACATTTTTTTCCCCTCCCAACAGTTTTTGTTGGCAGGACTGTACTTAATAAAATAAACAAATCACAAGAGAAATTAAAGAAACTGATGTTGAAATCAGGATAAGGCGAAAGTGATGACACAACACAAAAGAAACAAAAGTCTCAAAAGGAGACTGAGGCAGAAAACCAGGAACTTGCCCTTTTACTACTCTACGTACATCCTGCTCAGCAATTCTCACTACATAAGAAAAAAAGGGGGAAGAGGAAAAAAGCAAAAACTTCTTTGTCGCTTTTAAATCTTATTGCGGTTTAAAGGAAGGTGTGCGGGTAAAAAAAACAAACGCATGACGACGGACCTGGAAGTCTGGTCAGATCTGGTTTCTCACTAGCTTTCACGTTATCACATTTCTATAGCTGGAAGAATGAGAAGCCTCTGGGTGAAAAGTCACGTCTGACATCCAGCAGAGAAACGACAAGATCTCAAACGGGGAACGTCACACAGCAGTGAGTTTTAACGGATGCTCTCGCTCCCTGTGACCGTTGGCTGGACTGTTTTGGGGCGGAGGGGATAACTGTGAGGGTGTTTTCAGCCAGAGGGGAGGCATGAGGCCCAAAAAAACCTTGGATTATGTAAGGGGTCGAGGGAGAATTTATGCCGCTGCCTGTAGAGGGGAAGCAGCGGTTGTGGCCTGCATTTCCCATCTTAACGGAGACGTGCAGCCGTCCGTCTGGGCACTCGATGCTGTTGCAAAGTGTGTGCACGAACGAGTGACACGGAGCATGTGCTTTTGGGGGGGGGGGGGGGAGGCTGAGTGGGTGTGCGCGCATTCTTCAGATTTATGGGCAGAGTCGATAAAACAAAGCTAGGCTCTGTGGAAACCGGGGATTTCCATCGCTTTAGTACCTAATGGCGTGTATTCAGAGAGAGGGAAGGAGGAAAAACAAGACAGAGACATAACAGAGAAACCGAAAACATGCTGCTTCCTGGCAACCCTGGAAAGACCCTCTCCGACAATTTCTCCATTTCCTCCCCTCACATCCTCGCGGGCATCCCTTGCAGGCATCACACTCTCAGAGCAGAGTAGAAGAGTCCCTTGTGCCACTGGCCTGTTTCTATCACAGCGCTTTTTTCTTCCTGCTGACACAGATTCTCCTGCTCTGACAATGTGTACTTTCAGTTACTGTTAATTCAATGATTTTGAGAGAAGCTGTGAGCAGGGCCTGAAATATTAATCCAGTCGGCGCAGCGTGAAAGGGAATAAAGCAACTCTAACAGGGGCAAGAATGTCAGTTTTTGCAATTATATCATTTGTAAAAGCTACTTGAAAACCAACGCTGATGCGAAGTCCTGATAAAGATCTAGGGCAATGAGTTAAAAAAAAAAACAACTAACCCTGCTGTGTTTTATTGGCAAAACATTACAGTAAGAGCATTTTTTTTGGTTGAAATGTAGAATATTTGGAAAACATTTTAGAAGGGATCAGATATAGAAAATAATTTAAAACAAATAAGATTTAAAAAAGATATCCGAGCTAGAATGAAGTTTGATGACACTCTTGACAAGGGAAAAATAATTTAGCTGAAATAAGGAAATTATAAGGGGGAAAAAAGTTACACTGATGTGTAACTGAGAAGCTATGACCCAGGAAAAGTAGTCACTTGCAAAATTCAAGAGCTGCTTTCCTTGCGAGCGAGACCAACAATCCATTTGACTCCAGGCACTAAAATCACTTTAATTTATTTGAGTTCTGAAAAGCAGAACTGTCACTGTACCTAAATTGGACAAGCGAGCTAAATGAATAACAAAGATCCTAAATGGATGAACAAGCAAAATAAACAAATAAATTAGTTGTTAGGTGACATTTTAAATTACTAATTTTCCATAGTCATTTATGCATTGGACCCATATATGACCAAAAATAAAAATATCTACAATATATTTTTCAAAAATCTGTGAAAACATCAATTTAAAAAGGTTCTTATGACGTTTAAGATTCCAGTGAGCTTTTCAAAGCATGTTCCCTGAACAGCTTCTGCACCCTATCAGATCTGATTAAGAGCAAGACAACTGTGAGAACAAAGGAAAGAAAAGCAATGAGTGAAAAGTGGGTGAGACTCATATGTGGAAGAAAATCATGAATTCTAAAAAGAATAGACAGCCTTATCTGTTTCTGAAAGTGCGAAATTGCGCACAAACTATGATTGCGGCTGTCAAAAAACTGAGCAACAACAGCCATCCTCAAATTGGTGAAATGAGCTAAATCTACACGGAGTTGAAATGTAGCAACCGCCGTGGGCCTGCGTTTATCCAGAATGTATTCAAGGAAATACTGTCTGTCTTTCAACTTAAAGAGACAACTTAGAAACAGGAAATGACACAAACAAAGACAAGCAGGACACACAAGCCTACAGCTTAAAGTGAGCTAGTAAACGTCTAGAGTGTGCTACACTGCCATGGCGCTGGCGAGCAGCTGCTTATGATGCAGATAAAGCACACGGATTGGGAGGGATGGGCCAAGCCGCCTTCTACTTGAAGTCTACTCGAAGCACGAAGTATGTCTATGTTTGTTAGTGGGAGACAAATTGGATGAACATCACAAAAGTAAGTAAAATGATCAACCTCAGCCACATCCATTTCATCATCAAAGGCAATCAGCTGCAAGAGAAGAAGTATAGGAGGCAGAGAGTTAGTAGAGCTGGTTAGTGAGTGGAAGCTCCCTTTCAAAGGTGCGCCGTCATCGAGCTCGCCACACACACACACAAACACCCACACACAGCATGTCAAGTTGGTGAAACAAAGTGATGACAGTAGTAACGCCCCAGCATAATCGTGTTTCATTGTGGATCAACATGGATGATATTAAAGCTGATCCAACGCTGCCTCGCAAAAGGAAAGACTGCTAAAATGGGTATTTCTGCACACGTTTGGGCCCTGTGCACACAAACACGGGCAAAATACATTTATGGGGGGAGGGTGTCCTGTTTTCATGAAAGACCCATACTTGGTGGTGAGCCTATTTTTTTTATGTGTTTGCCCACCACTGTGGAACTTGTTCTGGTTAACTTCCAAGACGGACAGAAATAATTTTGTAAAGTGGGGGGGATCTGTCCCATTTTAAATGTAAAGCTACAACAAAATACCCTTCCGAAAAATACATTTAGAAAAAAAGAAAAACAAATAAAAAAATAAACTTCTCAGAAGTTGTCTAGACAAATATGAAAACAAGTTTTAAAATCTCTTTTAAATGTACAGATAGAAAAAAACATGAGCTGAATATTGTCTGGCATTATTTTAAAGCTATTTTCAGATAAGTTTCTGTACATGAATAAAAAAAAAATTTAAATAAAGAATCTACTATCTGTTATCTAATAGTAAGAAAGTTCAAATCTGTTCCCTGTAGCTAGAAAGTAAACTAACAGAGATGTTAGTAAAGGAAATCATTAGTTGCCAGTGCATGGTGTGTAAAATGTGGACCATGCATGTTGTTCATTTAGTTAATAATGCTGATATCTATCACTTCCATCACTTGAGGTCAGAAGTTGCTTTTTCTCATTTTAAGGAGGAAAGCAATGAAGTTATCTTATCCCAAGCCTACCTTTGAATGAACTCTTATAAAAAGATTCACACTAGACAAAACTTAATTGCACAGAAACAGAGCCTGTCCTTTCAGAGAGCTACACAAGCTCATGATTAAACTTATTGCGGATTTTTTTATCTTCCATTAAGTCTGGTAAATTAGAAGTCTCCTGGGATATCAAAATTCTTGGAATCATCATCTTCCGCACAAGAAACAAGAGCTTGCATACCTTTTCTCCATAGCCCCGGTCTTTTGTCATCATCTCCCGAAGCGTCTGCAGTACTTTGATGCACAAACGCTCCTCATTCTCCTCCAGCAACTGCTTGGTATGTTTAATCAGTCTGGTTATACGGCAAAAACAAAAAGAAAAAAATGACTTGCAAGTGGTGGAGGTTTTCAGCCAGATCACAAAAGTAAACACTATTTTGACCTCAGAAAACATCTTACAGGATTTAGGAAAAGTATACCGGCAACTATAACATAGTTTACACAGGTACCATACCTTGAGTGCTATATAATATTAGGAAATTCAATCACTTTGCTCTCAATGCAAAAGGTCTAAAGAAGCAATCCAACATGCTCATTGGATTCCAGAGTCAAAAAGCCCAATCACTGTGAGCAGTTCTTAAAATTTGCATTTGTCCAAAAAAAAGATAATGTATATATATCAGAACTGCTTTGGGTACATTGTCTTTTTTTGCACAGTCTGCTACACAACTGGGTACTTTTTTCTTTTCTTTTTTTAAAAGAATGCCATATAAACATGACAAAGACAGCTGCATGAGCTTAGATAGGGACCTAACCAGTAAGGAAGAAATCTGTCTTCTCACAAATCAATAGCAGGACGGTTGGAAATGTCTTTATTCTGAGTTGTTGAGCATCAGAAGTAGGGTAGAGACGTATTCTTTACCTTTAAAAATGTCAGCTGGTTTCTAATGCAGAACTACTGAGTGCATCTCTTCACTTTAGAAGTGAGAAGAGCTACGCGCGTTTGGTTAAAAAGATAAATAAATCCCTAACCGCAGCTTGATTTTCTGTCCTCCAATTCCTGGCCATTTTTGGCTTTACTGTTATTTTATCAGCAGCGTCAGTAGTATTGGATGTTGGTGCTCACTTTGATATAAACCCCCCACTTTCACATTTCTTGCGAGCCTCTGTGTTCTCGGGGAAGAGCAGCTCTGGTCGGTGCAGGACGTCCACCAGCACAGAGAGCTCAGCCTGGACCAGCGGCCTCAGACGGTCCTCCAGAGCAGAGACAATGTCCTGCAGAGCAAAGTGACAACAATCCACAATTGTGGCGTTGAAATTTGCATCATGACAAGAAATCTCTCCTTTTTTGTTATCAGTATATTTTTGCCCCACCTTCATTCTAGAACTTTATCTTACGTAGCCACTCAATATCATGAAAAAGAAAAGCAGAAGGTGAGCATATCTGGTCGATTTGTAACCAAATCAAGACAAATACAACAGTTGGTTTGGCTGATGAGGGTAAAAACAAAACGATCATTCAATCATCGTGGGAATCGCACTCCTCTCCATCAGGCATCAGGCAAGGGAACGATCTAAAAACAACATCTGGACACGGTGAGGGAGTGTCATGATTGGAATTGTGTAGGTTCTTTCTTTAAATGGAATAAGGGTTGTATCCAAGCTCCAGGTTTCCAGTATAAGATGATATATCAGCTTAACTGAGTCACTCAGCTCTTCCAGTGAATCCTGAGTCATGAGTTGCGAGAATGGGTGGCTGAAGGAGTTTCTCCACCCTCCCCCCCAGGATAACATAAAAACTACTTCCAAAGTATTTTGTGTGCTACACTGTTACCAGAAGCATTACACGACTATCAGGATATAAGCAGGCTGTGACGCTGTTTGAGTCTTAATTTGCGGGCTGAAGTGCCACATGCCACTAGATAACAGTTATAGTTAAGATGTAAGAGTTCACCCAGTTTCCTGTGACAGCATTGCTTTGTGTTTTGCCCACATAAAGAGGTGAATGAAGAGAGGAAAATGTACTGCACCTAACTAGATGAAATGTAAAAACACGACTAAAGACAAACATTTGAACTAACTGGGTAACATTAGTTGACAACGATTGAGTCATTTATCTAATCGGGTATGAAAGCGAGTGCTGAAATTTAGTTTTTCAATGGTTTTATTCAGGGATCTCACAGCATTTTTAAGGGGTTCATCTTTTGAATGAAAATCGAGTCGTGCCACTGACCTGTAGCCTCTCAATGATGTTTCTGTAGTCCTTTGAGGTGGAAATGCCGGAGTCTCGCCGAGAAGTGTTCTTAGTCGATAGTCTCCAGTTGAGGATGCTTTTCTGCACGACGTTATTAGACTTGACAAACAAGTTGTTCACCTGACTGTCGAGGTCCACCGGGATGGCGATTGCTCTGCTCTTGGCTGAAAAAGGCCAGAGCACGGAAACCCTTTGTCACAAAGCCATGGCTTGCATCTAAAGGCTTTGATGGGAGTCGGTGTTCGGCGTGGGGTGGGATGCTTACCCACGTCGGACAGCACTTTGATGCAGGCCTCGACGGACGCCTTCTGAACAGGGTTAAGCCAGTTACAGTGGTATACCCTGAACACTCCCTGAAGCAGCTGCACAAATACAGGCTGACGGGTCTGGAGGAGAAGCAAAAAGCAGACAGATTCAGCTGGAAATGCTCGGTGAACATTCAGCTACCGACAGGTCGTCTTAGTTATAAGAATTTTTATTAATTATGTGGAGGGCGCTCTGGCAAGGCACGATGGAGGGGTCAACAACTTCAGGCCCCACAGGGAAGCCGCTTGGTATCGGATGCACAACACAATAGACCAATGCTTCACAAAAGGGCAGCTGATTTCTACCTGCCAACAGCCGCAGAGAACAATAAATACCTCAGTTATCTTTCCAAGAATGGCTGCCTGTTACAAGAGGGGAAAAAAAAGGAAGTGATCACTGGATCAGGTGTTGGTATACCTCAGCACACAGAGTCCTTGTTTCAACAAGGTCAGCCCACAACAGCACCACAAAAAAGACAACTGGGCATCAGCTGGGCGACTGTATTTAACGCACAACCACAAAGTTCCTGTTTAAGGGACTCGGAATTCTACGGAGGAGAGCAGTCAGGATCAATTGGGCGAGTTCTGGGTAGGCTGCGAGACGGCCTGAGAACACGAGTGACCGCAGTGCATCAGGGTCACTTGTGCACCACTCCCCAACCAAAACTTGCGCAACGCCACCCTCAAATTTGGTAAGGGCTGAGTCTATGTGCTGACTAAGCAATGAAAATGTGAAAGCCCACACAGTGAATGCTTTTCAGCATTCAGAGTTTGCTGATAAGGAACACACCCAGAGGTTTGGAAACTAAATTTGGGGCAAAGATGCTATTACTTACATACATATGACGGGCAGTCTGTGCAAAGGGAAGAATGTCATATATTCTATATTATGTATGTGAGGTGGGTTGCTTTTCTCCATAATAAATCAATCAAGTGACTGCCTTCGAACAAAAGAAAAACAATGTAAAAAGGAGAAAAGGGAGGGAAAACAAAAAATTGTAGATCTGCATTGGAGTGCACTTTCCAAAATAATTTTGACAGTACCTGCAGGCTTGTGCTCTGGTCAGAGAAAGGAGAGCTGAAGAAACATGTGACAATGCTCATGACTGTCTCGGTTACATAACGCTCCAGTATGGTGTCTGCATGCTTCCTGTCACTGGTGTTGTTGCACACCTAAAAGAGGGCAGAGAGGAGAACAGTATGAAGCAGAGCCAGTGGGTCACACTTCCTGGATGTAACAGACAGGTGAATTATTCTTTTTTTCTTGACAAAAGCCGGTTATTGTAGAAAGCACAATAATGTTTCCCACGTGCTCATCACAGCCTTAGAAAGGTTGTGGCTTACCCTGCAAATGTCCACAAGGAAGTTCTCAAACAGCTTCCACATGTGGTTGGATGTGTAAATCTCCTTCATCTCCACCTCTGTGTCCACATAGCAGTGGTTTAGGAAATTGATATAGGCTATTTTCACCTGTAAGCACCCATATAAAAAATCAACGTTAACAAAAAAGACAGGAAAGCGCTGTTTTCAGAGGTAGGTCGAGAGGAAGTGCATTTAGACTTTTGGTTCTTAACCAGCATTAAAGGTCTGTAATCAGCAACCAAAAGTGAAAAATTAATTCAAAATGTCCCCTGTACAGAAACATTTTTGTCTACGTATGTAGACAAAAATGCCTCTGCCTCTGCCTCTGTATGGCAGAGGCACGTCTCTCGCAGTACGTCAAAAATGACTGTCTGCAATCTGATTTAGAACACAAATCCTGACCCCACTTCCTGAGTCGACCCAATAATCTCACTCCACACAGCATATAAACGAAAATATAAATAAATGAAAAAGATAGTCTTTTGAATGACGAGGGAAATCGTTTTTACAGAACTAAGATTTTACATGTTTGCTGCTGTATGAGAGACTTTGAAAGGGCACAAAAAAATTGTTGGAGTCCTATTTGTAAACTGACTCATCCAATACAGCACATGGCTGGGTTCCATCATTAAAAGATAGCCAGAGAAGACAGAGAGGAGTCATGAAAGCCAGCAGTAGCTGCAAAACCATCCAATCACAAGGCTAATATTTCAAATTCTGCTTAAGAAGAAAGTGTTGATCAATCATTTGAGTTACATGTAGTCTACTAAAACAAAGCTTGACAACTTAATACAATTTAAAGTAGGCAGGGATCTTATACGTACCTCAGGGATACAGTCTTCATGAGTAACTACTCGCACGATATCATCCAAGGGTAACAATGAGTTACACTTGATCTCCGTATAGACATTTTTGCCCTCGGTGCATACAGCCAGAAGTTCCACCAAGTGGATGTGATACATCAGAGGACTGTTTTCATCCATGCGGTCCCGCTCTGAGCGCATCATCTGTACTAGGGTTTGGAATGAGGCGCGGTCGTTGTAGAAGACCAGGACGTCTTCGCCAGAGTTGACCAGCTGAGTGGAGCACAGAGGTTGACAGTACAGTAGGTCAGTCAATACTTTTGCTTTCCCTTACTCTCCGTTTATAGAGCTCGTTTGATTTGAGTGGACACACCTCGGCCATGACAATGTCCTGGCACTTCTTGATGAACTTGTTCTCGGCTTTAACAATGGTCTGCAGAAATTTGAGGTACTGGACATGCCGCCCGTGTGTCTCGGTGCAGTGGACGAAGTGCTGGACCACGCGCTCGTTGATCTCGCTGCACAGCTGGAAATTATTCATGAAGATGTGCTGCATGGTGACAGCTTCCAGAATCTGTAAAGTCAATGAAAGAGGGCGAGATTGGTTTTCCCAGAATGCGTTCTTTGGTAGAGATTATCATCGGTCTCAAGAAAGATGATGCTCACCCCTGGATTAAGGAACAGGTTGATGTGCTTGTGGAGGAGAACTTGGTTCTGCTGGTTTCCCGCACAGAAATTCTGCAGGAACTCGTGAGCCAGTTTCATGATCTCCTGCATGCGGACGTCCTCGCCCTGGTGATGATAACACAGACTCGCTTATACGACGCCCAGACTGGAAACGCGCGGGGGATATTCAAATCAAGATTCAGTGCGAGTTTTGCACCTTCTCATAGGGGATCTGAAGGAGTTCCAGCACCACGCTGTGAGCTCCCATGTTCCTCAGCAGCCTCTGCTGCTGCTTCTTGCTCTTCTTTCCGGAGCTGCCCTCCTGGACACAAAGCTTACTGAGGCGCACCAGGATCTGGGAACAGAAAAGACAGGCGTTCAGGCGGCGTTGACATCAAACATATGAAAAGAGAAATAAAAATACAGAACAACTATACCTCTTTTACAACCCTGTAGTTGTAACTGCTGGTGCTCTCCGTCTTCTTCTTGTCTGAGCCCCCTGAATCTCCCTGCCAAACGATAATAAGTTAATCATTGCATGGGTTTCACATCTATGATCTGCAACTAGCATTTCATGGATCGTTTTTACATTCAATATTTGATAAAGAAATCCATCTGCCCCATGTTGAATAGCTAATCATCTTGTACCTTCTTTTTGTTGTCAGACTCTGAAGGGCCGTCCCCATCCATCCCATCCTCTCCTTGCCTCTTATATACCCACAGCTCCGATTTCTCAACAATAGAACGCAGCTGGTCCAAATCTGACTTGATCTGTTTGTAGTTATCAACGTCCTGACTGGTGACCAGCAGCTGGACCTAGAATTGGTTGGAGAATCAAATCCAGTCAACAGTGCGGCAGTAATTTACAAAGCATGTGGGTTTTGATGGTACAATAAAGTTTAGACCGCGCTAGTGACTTTGAGTTACTTGTTTGAAGGCCATGAGGACTTCCTGTCTCTGGCTGAAGTGTCTGAAGAGCAGGTGAAGCGCTCCGGACACCAGCGGTGGGTAATCATGCATGGTGAGGTGCAGCAGGACCCTCAGGAACGTGCGCCCGCCATGGTCATCTAGGTCAAGTGGAGTATTCTCCTCGCTTTGAATTGTAAGGAAAAAGAAAAACACGAAGTCTAGCAAATCTTTACCCGTTTACGGAGGTTATTGAGAGAGATTTGACAAAGCTTTTGAAATACTCAAAATTCTGTCCATTACCTTCCTCCAAAGATCCCCTCTGCCTGCTCTTCAATGTTTTCAAAGTCAAAATTTCCTAGGGAGGATTTAACAATTCAGTGAATACATGTGTCAAATATCAGTTCTAGCATGGGGTTTTTGGGTAAATATGGCTAATATCTTGTTTCGTATCTTTTTTCTCTCATAACACTTGGTCTCATACCTGGCATCTGCCCAACAATGTTGTTTGTTCCATTCTGAGTTGCACTGTTATCTCCTTGTGGGTTGTTCTCATCGAACTCACGTTTGAAAATACAAAGCAGGCAGGATATCCTGTAGTCTAGCCGGACATTCAAAATAAACTGTAGGAAACAGTAAAAACGTAGTTGCAGTTCGGTGTTGTTTTGCTTCGAGTGTGAACGAGTGTTTCTGACGTCGTACCTGCAGAATCTCGATGACCTTGAGCTTCGTGTCCATGACCATGATATCCTCTCTCTCCGGTTCGGTCTGCGTTTTCACAACATCCCCCTCGGGCTGATGAGTTGGGGTGGCGGGAATCAAACCGCCCCCTCGCAACACTACCTGAGTCATCAGCTCCCCGACTCCGTGAATGGACTTCATTACGTTACTGCCCGCTATGTGAAGAGACAAAGGCAGGGTAACAAACAAGGAATATTTGGCAGACAGGATCCCTTCAACGTCCGAAAAAAAGAAGACCATTCACGAGATGTTCACCTTTGTTGTCATCCCCTTTCTCAATCTTGGCGATGGGATAAACGGTGCTTACGTGCACGCAGTCCAAAATATTCAGTAGGATCTTAGTCAGGCGCAGCAGGTCACTGAAGTTGTAGAAGCCAAAGTATATGAGGTTCCTTGCCAGGTTCACAACCTACGAATGAGGTAAAGCAAACACATGAATTGTGATCCACATGAGCAGGGTCTTATCTGGTCGTGTGCTGCATGCCCTAAGGGGGCATTACCTCAAAGGTAAGTTTGTTTTTCTCCCTGTCAGAAAAGGGCATGTTCTGCGACACCACCTCTCTCAGGTAGTTCTCCACAAAATCCATGGTGAGGCTGAATCGCTCTTTGATCTCATCTCGGGTGGTTCCATCGTTGTCGTAGCTGAAAGCAGAGAATTGCGCTTCAGTGGTGCCAGTATCCCCTAAAAACCGGTAATCCGGGTCAACAAAGCATTCGCGTGATGAACTCACTCGTCAATGGCGATTTTAGAGGGGATCTCAGACCACAGACGGGCGTATTTGACGGGTGTGACCTGCTCCTGGGGGTCCCGGTCCACGTGCATGTGCAGCATCAGGCGGCAGAAAGAGGCTCGCAGGTCAAAGGGCAGGTCTTCATCAGACATGCAGCGCAGGATCAAATCGACATCCAGCTGACCGGAAATCTTGTTGATGGCCAGGTACTGTCGGTCCAGGCACATCCGGGCGAAGAGATTCAGCTGGCACCTGGGACGATTTGTTGCCATCAAAACTCAAATTTAAAAAAAAATCAGCTCGTCTTGTGTAATGTTGGTACATGAATGCAGACATATGAGATGGAAAAAAGATGGAAAGCTAATTATGACGTATTTGGGGAAAAAAAAACTCATTTGGAATCAGCTGCTTTCAACAACTTCACACATTACTGTTGCTGTCCACATACGTTTTGAGAATGTGTAGAGTTAAAGGCAGCTCACCTGTAGTAGCTAACCACTTCCTGGTCCTCTTTCTGGCCCTCCCTTGCATCCTGGGCCAACTCCCGGACGCTCTTACTCCGGATCTCCTTGCAGTTGTCCTTCCAGAACAACCACACCTCCTCCTCATCTTCTGCCTCCACTGGGGCCTCCCCATTTGTCATCACCTCAATCTCAAACCTCGACAGGACCAATCTGGCAGATGGCACGATTCGACCATTTAAGTGCTTTAGGCGGCTTGGGAAATTTTAAGAACTGCTTAAAATAAGTGGCTCACTTGGTTTCGAGGAGGATGTCAGCATTGCTGGAGTCCAACACTGCATTACAGATGAGTTCTTGTGTCACTGGGATGGACTTATTCATGGACACGCATAGATCTGACAAGTAGTCCAGAAACCTAGGTACAGATGAGAAATCATTTTTTCCCACTAACTGCTGCTAAATAAAAAAAAATAATTAATTAATAGAAAATAAATATCTTCAATTATATAGTTTCAATGCTGAATCATTTGTTAAGTAAAATAGCTTACATACATTTACATTGAATGAGTTTGGGGGATTTATTCTAACATAATCGCCTCAACCAGAACAGAAACCTTCTATACTGGCTCCCAACCTCACCTCGGCTCCCGGTTCTTCCTCACTAGAGTTACAAAGGTGTCTATTTCGGCAGCAGTGATATGTTTTTCCAGCAGCTTCCGGTTGTTGTGCAGGAGAGCCGTTATCGTGTCTTCTGCCAGCACATCATATCCTATTTGTTTCTGCATAAAGCGGAACTGCTTGGCTATATATTCCTGCAAGAAACAAAGAAAGGAGATGTTAGTTCAAAGTAGAAAAACTGAAATTAAGAAAAAAAAAGCGATCGTGTTAAATGTTTTGATTCAAGTCATGTGCAGTTTACTTGGTTCTTCCTGTAGTCCTGCTGGGAGTGGCGGAGCACACGATAGCAAAGCCTGCAAATGTGTCTAAAGGGCGCGTGGCGCTGATCTCCGAGCTCCTCCAGTCGCAGCATCGGGCCGTCACCGCTGTCTGTGAAGGGGGCTTGGAGCAGTTTGAAAATCTGCAAAGGTGACAGAAATCGATGGGTTTTAGAAGCAGACCTCCTTTGTTTCTACGGCCCCGTGATGCCGCAACGGCATACCTGTTTAAGGATATTCTGCTCTCGCATTAGTTTTTGTCTTTCTCTGTTGGGTTTGTTAACCATGATCTCCAGAACGTCCTGCCCACTGTTAGGGATGTCGACCACAAAGAAAACCAAGTCTTCCAGGAGCTTGGTTACAAACCTTGATCACATGACAGTAAAAAAGCAAAATTTGCTTTGATAAAACGAACTTGGGATTATACATAACTGAAAATGTACGTGATGCATAGGTCTACCTCCTTTCATTTTGAGTAATGGTCCCCTTTTCAAGTTTGCCAGCAATGGAGGCCAGCACTTTACTTGCATCATTGGCAAAATCTAAGTCACGCACTTCTGCTGGTGGCACCGGCACAATGGCAAAGGCTTCCTTGTCTTCTTTTACACCTGATGTTCCAATCTTGGGAGGAAAAGAAAAAAAAAAAAAGTAAATGTTGAGACAACCCAAGTCCACGTTACACTGTCAAACCAACTACAGAAAGCAGCCGCTCACCTTTAACATAACGGGTTTCTCTTCCTCTTTGTCAATGGGGTTGTTGGTGCTGTGAACCCACGTGTTGGTGCACAAGTGTCTTAACCGGACGTAGGAGCTCCTGGAGATCACAGAGGACACAGAAAAAATAGATGTTGCAGTTTTAATAACAATGTGTAGCAGAAGTTGTGTCATTGTGCTTTGAAGCACTGAACAATCATGAACAGCCACTAAATGTATCCCCTCCGAAATCTTTTCATTGAGAGGTCAATGTGCTTTGAACTTGTAACAACTTTAGAGCTAAAAGAAAACCGGTCATGGACAGTGGATGACCAACCTGCACTGAACAAGGCGCTGATGCTTGAACTCTAGTTTTGTGCAAGAAAAAAGGAGAAACATATAACTTTCCACAGTGATTGATGAAATGGGGTTGATGTCAGGGGAGACAGGAGACATTACCTTCAAACAAACAAACAAACAGGCGCACTGCAACACTGCTTTTTTTTTTTATTAATGACACTCATGCCTCAGATACATGCTTCCAAGAACTCATGCTATCATAAAAGACAGGAACTTCTCGCTCCTACCAACCCCAACCCCCCCGCCCCTCCCCTTCCAGGCATTACTTGGGCTTTGGCTCCATCAACTGATCCCACAGTTAAAAATCCTCCTCCTAGCCCGGGTATCTCTCGGAACAGTTGTTTCAGAATGAACATAATTACCATCAGAATTCACTCTGGCAGCGTAATTCAGCTTCCAAAAACAAACAAAGAAAAACAAACCAACAAACAAACAAACAAACAAACAAACAAACAAACAAATAAATAAATAAATAAACAAATAAATGTTTAAAAAAAAGGAGGCTGTGTTGATTCTTTCACCACTGTTTTACTCTTTGCAAAAAAAAAATAAAGGCCAGAGGTCGTTTTTCAGCACCCGTCTGGAACAGCTCCAATAAAAATAGTAGTGTAGGTACATCACACGGATGGATTTATGGCACACTGCGCGGCAATAAAAGGCACACCTGACAAATGACAAATCACCGTTTGTGACTGACTGTGTTTGAACAAGTGAACAAAGCCTGTAAACAAACTGCCTGGATGGGGAACAAGCTGCTCAAGGCTCACTCGGCTGAGTGTTCTGCACGATCACAGACTAGTCAGTGGTGACACGCAGACAGTCTCCACTCCTCTATTAAAGACTTAACCCCTCCACATAGACGTAAAGACCGATCCAAAGACGCACATCCTGCCTGCCAGCCTAGCTGCTTGCTTTAAGTGCTGGTGTGACAACTGCAAGTGTGTATCTGTCTGGCTTTTGCCACATGAATACAGATAGAAGTGATGTTCTTGGCAGTTTTTATTTCACCACCCACTGAAACTAACAGGCTTGTATTTGTGTGCCAGTTCTCCAGGGTCTCAATTAGCCCCACATTTGCGGCCTAGGTTATTTTAGTATGGAGTGGGAGATGGTCAAAATGGTTCCATAACATGCACAAAAGCACCTGGCGATGTGACACAAAGGAGGCTTTGATGCGAGTTCAATCTTATCTGATGCACAGTCACAAGGTCAATTACACTCTTGTAATTGCAGAAGTGCACATTCACTTGCACAAAACTGCCAACAAGAATTAGGGAACAAAGCTAAAGCATGATGCATGAACAATGAAGAGAGACTTTCTAAAATAGGTTCATGATGAAGGCGGCGCTTTCGGTATTCAGAAAATGAGTGTCTTGTAACTCAAACTGTGAATCTGAACACCGACTATCGTTAAGAATGATTCAATTTCATTTTCACTGGCAGTCAAGAAACGATGTGTCGACACAACATCTGGTTTTGGTTTCCACTCCAACCGCCTCAGCCGAAAAAAAAAGAAAAAAAATAAGAACATAACAGGATTTCGTTGGCATTTTATGAATTGGGAGTTTTTCTCCTTTTGTGCCCACCATCTATGGTTGATTTGTTTTCTGTTTTGAGCCATTCTGGTACTTTCCACAGCTCAACAGCAAATCAGATCAAATTAAACAAAAAATTAAAAATGCTCAACTTTGCCTACAAATTGTGTTTGAAGCTAAAACGAAACCAAAAAAAACCCCAAAACTAACACCTTTATTTCAGAGAATGTGTGAGTGGAACAAACAGCTGGTCACACAGACAAAAAAAAGACTACATGAAAAGCTGGTCTTTGTCCATACCCTACCAAGACAAACACAATCATTACCTCATAAACTTCCTTTCTATTGAAGCTGGGGAGAAAAAGAAATCCCCCCTCAACATAACAAATGAGTCAAACGGCTACTTCACAATGTTTGAACTGTTGTAGTCATGACATCACTGTGGTCTTTTTGAAAGGCCAGTGTGGTATCAAGATACTTGATTTTACAACATTCACGTTGTTTTTGATTCCATGAAAGGGCAGGACACGTTTCCTCTAATGCTTTTACATCACCCTTGACATCATCTCGGGCTTGACTTCCCAGCCATCAACGACTCATAGCAAAAATGTTTATGACATGGGTAAAAATGCAATCGCACCTGGGAACCATGGAGTCCCCTCCTCTCAGAGTGGTGGGGTCCAGCTCAAAGATGGAGGAGATATCCATCCCGTCAGGAACCGGGACCAGGGTGTACATAATTTTCTCCTGTGGAGCTCGAAGGCGGCCTCGTAGAGCCTCATTATCTGTATCCAGCTACAGGAAAAAAAAACACGTAGTGTGAGGGAGAAAGCCACAGGGGTACACAACAGTCTGTCAGTATTCAAACAATTTTGAACCATACTCAAGTAAAGATTTTAGCAAAGTTCCGATTTGATCCGTCAAAAACCGGCTAAAGCCTAATCCCCCCCAAAAAGTATTCTAACTTTAGATGGAACTGTCTGTAGGGATTATTTGTTCTGCCTTTTTGTTTGCTTGTTTTTTGCACAATGATCTACAGGTTAAAAGAACATCCCAATTTAACCAACTGAATACCAACACTGCCCCTAAAACGTGCTTTGGTAGAGATGACAGCACGCTGACACCCTGTGGTAAATCACGTGATCATAAATTCAAGATGAATTCTCTTGAATAAGAATTTACTGAATTATAAGAGTTTAAGCAAAAAAAAAGAACAAAGAAAAGTGGGAAAGAAGAAGCAGAGGGGACGTTGGGTTTTCATGTTTTATGAAAACCCAAACAAAGCTGCTGAAGCTATTTAAGATTTATCATGACTGTACCTGGAAATTGAAAGGTGTGAAATCCACCATCTAGAGCCAGAAGACCCAGAATAGATATTGTTAAGACAAAATTAACCAAGAGACCGTGATGCACAGAGAGAGAGTGAGAGATGAGGCTCACTTACAGAGGACCGCTGCTCAGCACTCTCTTCCTCAAAGTCTTGATTCACCTGGAAAACAAAGGTCCAGCGTCACTGCATGCTTGTCATAGATAGCTGGTCTAAACTCTTAATAGCTGTTGTTTCATTAGGGGGAAATAAGAAGATAAGGTAACCGGCACGCACTTCACCCATCTCTGCTGCCAAGTAGCACCCCGTGGCCAAATGTTTAAACCTGAACAGGCTGTTCCAGTAGCCGGCACCTCCTCTACAGGGATCATGGTGCACCACCTGGTAACCACAAAAGACATGATAAAAAATTATCCAACTATCCCTCTGTGTTTGTGTGACAATCAATCCCCAGAGCGTCGGGTTCCCAATCCTGTCAAGGGAGCACGATGCCTCTGAGGCCTTCGGGCCATTTTCAGACAGGAAACGTGGCACAGACCTCCACTTCCCACAGTGCTTTGCTGCTGGTGGCTGAAGTCGCAGACTGCCGACCGGTGGTTCGAAGAAAAACATGTTGCTTCTTCCTGTGGTCGTCGCACGTGAGAAACTTTTCCTGCTCTGCGTGGAACAACCGCACCACGTCACCCTGCGGTCACATGTGAGCGAGAAGAATGTGTTTTTCAAGATTTATCTTTTGATGTGGCACTTTGGCACTGCCTTTTTTTTCTTTTTTTAATTTTCAAACTGACTTCTGAACATTAAGAGAAAGAAAGAAAGAAAGAAAGAAAGAAAGAAAGAAAGAAAGAAAGAAAGAAA